TCCCACGCTAAGGCTGTGTTAGCTGGTCTCCTTCAGTGTGCGTCTTCCATCTTACTCTCATTATTTGCCTTTAATATTTGTTTTTATTTTTTCATTTTTTTGACCAATGTTTTCTTGGTTTTCATTATAAAAAGTTAAGTTTGTCAATAATAATGCCCTTTTAAGTCTTTCCACTTTCTGATTTATTAATATGATTTTTCAATTTTCTCTAGCTCGAAGATGATATTATTGTCAAACAGAATTACTTTAATACTATAAAAAATTTTGCACTTCAGCTGTCTTCTGAGGAATGGATGATTTTAGAATTTTCCCAGCTTGGCTTCATTGGTAAGAAACAGTGTCCGATTTACCTACTTTTCAAAATAATTTCGACTTTCAAAATCTTAAACTAATTGTTATTTTACTCTAAAGTCTTTTCTCTGTGGAAATAACATATTGACTAATTGTTTTTAAGAAAATTTAACTTCCTTCTATGAAATGATGAAAGTCAATCAAAAACAGAGGTTGGAGACCTCTAAAGTTTTAGTACTGAGTACTCTAAGATTCCACAAGATGGCTCTCCCGGCTTCTCATGTATCCACAGTGCCGACCATGCTCCTGGGGAATGGGTTTGATTTCTTCTTCTCTGTTACCTCTAGTTCTTCTTTTATAGCCCAATGTCAGTGCAAGATTTGGGTCTTTTCAGGGTGCCACACTAAAGGTGTTCTATTATAAATTCCTGGCGTTTTCACGTAGTGCATGAAGTTCTCGTTCAGTGATTAAGTTTTTATTCATTTGTTTCTTTGGCTAGTTGAGGTGTTCATTTCAAAACTTTTTTTTTTTAAGTTTCTAAATTAGCCACCTGAAAAAAATATGTTTAAAGTCAAAGAATTAAAGAAAATTTACAGCTGTTTAAAAACACCCAAAGGACAACATTCCAGCTCCTATAAACCAGAACCAAACCAAGTGCCATCGAGTTGATTCCAACTCACAGTGACCCTGTAGAACAGAGTAGAACTGCCCCCGTAGGATTTTCAAGGCTGTAATCGTTACAGAAGCAGACTATCACATCTTCCACGGAGCAGCTGGTAGGCTCAAACTGCTAACCTTTCATTTCGCAGCCGAGTGCTTAACTGCTGCACCACCAGGGCTCCTCTCCACTTCCTATAGTACTTTAAAACTTTTAAACATTGGAGGCTAATCTTTGCTCTTGTTGATCCTTTAACACAAAACTTACTTTAAAAGTCAAAAAGCATCTTTACTTGTAAAGATTTCAGTGAAGACAAAATTAGCAGTCCTTGTTTTTTGCATTTATTGATTTAGTTAAAAAATCTTTATCTTAACCTCTCCTGTTCCTTTTTTATGGGAAGACATGAAGGAAAGATCTCTGACTTTGTTTTTGAATCTTTTGAGCCAGTGTTTGTGTGATAGCTTTTGTAATAGAAAAAGTCAAGAGTTCAGTACTTCTACTTATACCCAGATGGTAGCTCAAGAGAATGTTTAGCTACAGAAAGTTTGTTTGTTTATGATAATGTAAGTGGAAAACTTCATGATAATGTATAGTGGAAAGCACAAGCTTACTACAGATTTCCCTTCTTTAAGTGGTTTAGATGCTTCGTTTCCTTACTACAGCTATTGACTTGGAATGTCTTTTCAGGTAAAATGTTTCAAGCGCCAGACCTCACTCTGATCATAGAATTCATATTTATGTTTTATAAGGAGAAACCCATTGATTGGCTTCTGGACCATATTCTCTGGGTGAAAGTCTGCAACCCTGAAAAAGATGCCGTAAGTTCATTTTTTTGTGGGGGTGGAGGAGGCTTCTTGTCTGTATTTTTTAATACAAGTGACTTTTAGTGAAGCGATTTTGTGAATGAACAGTTCAATAGGCAGCTGAAAGAGAACAGTGTTTCTACTTAAAGTTTAAATTGCCTGCCTTCTTTCTTGCACTGATAAAAAGTTTCTATATTAGAGAGACTTTGAAAGAGCAGGGAAAAATTCTGTAATTCAGGGAAGCCTGTTGCAAGGACCATGAACTTTCTTTAAATTATTGGTGAATATCGCGCCTTTAAACCCCGTACCATCGAGTCCATTCTGACTCAAAGCGACCCTGTAGGACAGAGGAAAACTGCCCCATAGGGTTTCCAAGGAGTGGCTGGTAGATTCAAACTGCCAGCCTTTTGATTAGCAGCTGAGCTCTTAACCACTGCACCACGAAGGCCCCTATTGTGTCTTCAGGCTTCTGTTATTTCATTACTGTTAGGTAGAGACCTTTTATTCTCTTTGAGGTGTTATTTCAGTTTGTTTTCTTATGCTCTGTCAACTCTTTTTTCAAATACTTTGGGGACAATATCAGACTCCAGCACATCTGGAAATAAGGAATAAAATAGAAGTAATGTTTTATACAAAAACAGTGGCAAGTCAGAAAAGTGCCTTTCAGTATATTACTTGCAAGAAATGAGTGTTCTTACTAACATGCTTCCTTTTGGAACAATGGTGGGCAGATAAGTAAGTGAATTATGATTTTTACCTTGATTGTTCAAATAACATTACTTTCATAGAAATCTTATTGTAAAAAGTAATTGGGTATGTTTTCCTTGTCCAGTTTGAATTGTACTTCTAAAATAAATACAACTTCTGATTTATCTGGTGTAAGCATAAACAATGTGTGAATATACAAATTCTTAAAAATGAATAATAAGAACTAAATATTTATTATAAGCATGTGTCATTATAGGGTGAGTTATTCATTATAACAAGTAAATATTTAGGTTGACTTCATGATCTTATATTCTCTAGAATAGTTTGATTATCCTACCTGCCCCTTGTTTTTCAGGATACTGTCTTCTGGTGTCTGTAAGCTATCATTGCGTTCTTTTTGTTTTAAAAGAAGAGTAACCTTGTGTATATTTTCATGAAAAAAAAAAGAGAGAGGAACCACTTTTTTTGAGCAAATCTTGGAATGTAGTGAAATAGTAAAGTATCCATTTTCCAGCAACAATGGAACATGTAAATTGATTGGAACAACTCATTTTTAAGATCTAAGCCCTTACCGGTCTTGTCATTGTGACTTACAGGAAGGAATTGTTATTGTAGGACACAAGAAAGTTAACGGCATCTTCACCTCCTAGAAAACACTTGAATTTAATTGATACTATGCAGTTTTACCCCCTAGAACTCTTGAATTTAACTGATCCTGAACGGTTTTACCTAAATGTGGTTAGGTTCTAAAATCAGCTTGTAGGTGAAAAAAACTCTGGCAGTAAAATTAAAACCATGAAAACCCTTAAATCATTTAGAAATTTTAGTAGACAATCCTTTGGGCAGTTTTATCTATTCCTTCACTTTTCCTTAGTCCGTGGTTTTGTTTGGTTTTATTGTGGTAAAAAGTATGTATAACAAAACATTTACCAGTTCTACGATTTTTACACGTACAATTCAGGACATTAATTATGTTCATCACCTTGTGCAACCATCACCACTATCCTTTTCCAAATTATTTCACCACCGTTAACAGAACTCAGTGCCCTGAGCGGTGACTCCCTCTCCCCCTCTCTCTGGAAACCATTGCCATGGAGTTGATTACCTCTGGTCCACCCACAGTGACCCTGCAGGACAGAGCAGAACTGCCCCAGAGGGTTTCCAAGGCTGTGAATCTTTGTGGAAGCAGGCTGTCACATCTTTACCTCTGGTAATCACTGATAAGGAGCCCTGGTGGCGCAGTGGTTAAGAACTTGGCTGCTAACCAAAAGGTCAGCGATTGAATTCACCAGCCACTCCTTGGAAACCCTATGGGGCAGTTCTAGTCTGTCCTTCAGGGTCGCTGTGAGTCAGAATCAGCTTGACAGCAACGGGAACCACTAATAAACTTTGGTCTCTGTATATTCGCCTATTTCATATAAGTGGGATCATAAAACATTTATCCTTTTGTAACAGACTTGTTTTACTCGGCAGAATGTTGTTAAGGGTCATCCATATTGTGGCATGCATCAGGACTTGATTTCTCTTTATGGCTGAGTAATAGTCCGTTGTATGAATAGACCACATTTTGTTGATGGACATTTCAGTTGATTCCACATTTTAGCTATTGCGGATAGCGCTGCAATGAACATTGGTGTACAAGTTTCTGTTTACATTTCTGCCTTCACTTCTTCTGGGAATATACCTAGGGTTGGGATTACTGGATCATATGGTAGTTCTGTGTTTAACTTTTTGAGGAACGGCGCAACTGTTTTCCACAGTGACGTATCATTTTACATTCCCACCAGCAATGGATGTGGGTTGCAATTTCTCCACATCCTCACCAACCTTTCTTGTTTTCCATTTTTTTGATCATAGCCATTCTACAGGGGGTGAAGTGATATTTCATTATAGTTTTGATCTGCATCTCCTTGATGACTGATGACATTGAGCATCTTCTTATGTGCTTGGTGGCCATTTGTATATCCTCTGGTAAAATGTCTGTTCAAGCCCTCCGCCCATTTTTTGGTTGGGTTGTTATGTCTTTTTGTTGTTCATTTATAGGAGTTCTTTATATATTCTGGATATTAAGCCTTTATTTGATATATGGTTCCCCCAGATTTTGTCCCTTAGCCCATGTTTTTCTGTGGCCCTTGTTCTCCAGTTGCTTCCCCTAGGAATGCTGTCCAGGAGGCTGTCACCATTTACTTATGACCATGTGCACAGTATCTCTTTGACAGTGGTCTGGGGAAACCTTCACATGATTTATACATTCTTCCAAAGCTTTATCAACCTGCTTTGACTCTGCAGCCTGATTGCTTTCATTGCCTGTGGTATGACCTCTCTTGAGAGGTGGGCTGAGTCTCACATGCTGTTTAAGTCACTTTCTTCTTTCCTTGCCTCCCTCTCTCCTCCACTCCCCCTGCTTCTCCCCTTTACTGCCCTCCCTCTACCTCCGATTCCCCTTCTCTTTAAGTAGTTGAATGTGTGTAACTAAAATACACTATTTCAGCTCTATTCTAATATTATTAATAATGCTAATGAAGTAAAACCTTTTGAATAGAATTAGGCATTATGATAGCCAGTAAATTTTTGGAGGTGTTTCAAAGTGGAAATGTTCTATAAATGTGTCTTTTTCAATTTCTCCTTAGCCCAAAACTTATGAAAGTCTTTGCCTACTGTCCTGAAAATAGTTTGTCAAAGCATGACAAGATCATCACAGCCATCTTGAAACACTGAATTAATGCAGCACTGAGAGCCTGCTAGCATCATGGGTTTCTTAGATTTCAGCCATCATCACTCTCTATGATCAAGCATGAGGATACCTTGTAACCTGAAGTCTGGACCATGATGCATCTTGCATTGAAACATAAAATACAAAAAAACCAAACCCATTGTTGTCAAGTCGATTCCAACCCTTAGCAACCCTCTAGGAGAGAGTAGAGCTGCCCCGTAGGGTCTCTAAGGCTGTAACTGTTTATGGAAGCAAACTGCCACATCGTTCTCCCGTGGAGTGGCTGGTGGGTTCAAACAGCAGCCAGGTACTTTAACCACTGTGCTGCTGGGGCGGTAGAGTCCAATTCATACATTTTAATATTAGACATCAAATCTATATTAACATATCTTAAAGGATGGTTGAAATTAAATCCTTCACTCTTTATTTAGGTGTACTTGCTTTTAATCATCCGATCATGTCTGTGTGTCAAGTAGGCAGCAAATCTGTTAATGCCTCAAAGAGAACCATAGGAAATGTGCACTTGTTAATTATGAAATGAAGTTGCATTTTCTTTTTGATATTCTTGTAAAGGACTTAACCATTTTTCCAGTGAGGACAAGATTTCACTTTATTAGGTAACACTAACATGACTTTTTTTTTTTTTTTTTTTTTTTTAATATTTAGAAACATTGTGAGAGACAGAAAGCCAATCTGCGAATTCGCTTCAGACCTTCACTTTTCCAGCATGTCGGTCTGCATTCGTCTCTGACAGGGAAAATTCAGAAACTCACGGTTGGTGATTTAATGGTGTTTTCCTACAGATATACAATTTGGCATTAGTGTATAATTATTGCTCTTCCTCTTAAGTGTAAGTAAGCTATAAGTTGTTTAATACATGCATGTCTTTTCTCCTAGGATAAAGATTACATGAAACCATTACTTCTTAAAATCCATGTAAACCCACCTGCAGAGGTGTCTACTTCCTTGAAGGTCTACCAAGGACATACACTGGAGAAAACTTACATGGGGGAGGATTTCTTCTGGGCTATAACTCCCACAGCTGGAGACTACATCTTGTTTAAGTTTGATAAGCCAGTCAATGTAGAAAGGTTGGTGATTATTGAAATATATCTGGTCTTGTAATTCAAACCTCTTGTGCATAATGTGATTTATGACACAATTTTGGGGGCATAACAGATGTGAGGAGACAGTGGCTCCCAAAATGCTGGGTTGTAAGTCATTTAATGTACCTTAGCAGTAGAACCGACGAGTTGTTTTCAGATGTCATGACAGTATCCTTCACCATATTGGGTAGATTTTATTGGTATTTCTGGACTAAGATTTGGTAAGATTTCTGACACTTTTCATGTAGAACTCTCCCTCAAAATCTCAGGTTTGTTTTCATGTGTTTATGCTGGAATATCCCTTCAGTTAATGACTGAGAGCTCATTGATCAGTGCAGCAATTTGGTTGAAATGATGATTGACAGACTGCAACTATTCCTAGTCAATAGTTTTGCCAACACGGGATTATTTTTAGTACACCATGGAGGAGAATACACCCCTTGTATCTTTTTCAGCATTTATACTCATTTTTCCAAGAGGACTTTTTTCTCCCAGTTTTTTATTTAAACAGTCATGATTCCTTCAACTCTTCCTTAGTCCTGGGTGTGTCCGACAGCCTATCTGTGGCATACTTAAATGTAATTCCCAGAAGAGAAGGCCGGTAGTGTATTATTTTATGTGTCTTCATATGAGGGCCAATTTGGTTTTTAGAATCTTCCAAAAATCGTTTGGAATAATTCCATTTAATATGGTCAAAAACAATTCTTAACTGTAATGTAATGTCACTGATTTTCTTTTGTTATTTTAAACTGATTCCAAAGAGGAACTGAAGTTGTAAAAATGTTTTAGGCAGTGGGAATATCACTGGTGAAACATACGTGGATGAGGATATAGTATTTATCTTGTTAGCATCTGTTGTTCATTTTTTATATTACATATTGATTCTCTGCACTTGGAGGCATTGTTTATCACACTTTCAGAGTCATCGTAGAATTGGAAACAACATGGGTGTCTGCCGGTAGGCATTTGGCTGAGTAAATGATGGTGGCTCCATGCAGTGAAATGCTATGAGCAGTCATTAAAAATAATGACATAGAGCTATACGTACTGACCTGAACAACTTCATGAAAACAAGCAGATTCTATAACAGAATGAGCCTACTTTTGTTGAAATAATAAAAATATTATTTTACATACATTACATAGATAGAAAAAACCTGGAAGGAATATATCAAACTGTTAATAGAGGTAGGATAACAGAATATTTCATTTTGACTTGATACATTTATTTTGCATGCTTTTTTTCCCAATGAGCAATTTACTTGTTTAAAAATTAAACTTTGATTTTGAGAAATTGTACATTCACATGCAGTTGTAAGAAATAATACTGAGCCATCCTGTGTACTCATTACCCAGCTTCCCTCAATGGTAACGCCTTGCCACCTGAAGTAAAATATCCCAACAAGGATCTGACGCTGATAGTCAAAAGAAAGACCATTGCCATCACCACTGGAAGCCCTCATGTTGCCCTTGTATAGGTACACCCACTTCTCCTGCCAGCCCTTGTTCCTTAATCCCTGACAACCATTAATATTTCTCTGTTTCTGTAACTTTTTCATTTCAGTGATGTTATATAAAGGGAATCATACAGTACATAACTTTTAGATTTGGCTCTTTTCACCCAGCATAGTTCTCTGGAGATTTGTCCAAGTTGTTTTGTGTCTCAACAGTTCATTCCTGTTTATTGCTGAGCAGTGTTCCATGGTGTAGATGTAGCATAGCTTGCTGAACCGCTCACCTGCTGAAAGCCTCTCAGTTGTTTCCATTTTGGGGATAATGCAGGTAGAGCTGTTATGAACAGTCATGTATGAGTTTTGAGGGTAATGCAGGTAGAGCTGTTATGAACAGTTGTGTATGCGTTTTGGGGATAATGCGGGTAGAGCTGTTAGGAACAGTCGTGTATGAGTTTTAGGGGTAAGGCAGGTAGAGCTGTTATGAGCAGTCATGTATGAGTTTTGGGGGTAAATGCGGGTAGAGCTGTTATGAACAGTCAAATACGAGTTTTGGGGGTAACGTGGGTAGAGCTGTTATGAACAGTTGTGTATGAGTTTTGGGGTAAGGCGGGTAGAGCTGTTATGAACTGTTGTGTATGAGTTTTGGGGGTAACGTGGGTAGAGCTGTTATGAACAGTCGTGTATGAGTTTTGGGGGTAATGTGGGTAGAGCTGTTATGAACAGTTGTGTATGAGTTCTGGGGGTAAGGCGGGTAGAGCTGTTATGAACAGTCGTGTATGAGTTTTGGGTGTAAGGTGGGTAGAGCTGTTATGAACAGTTGTGTGTGAGTTTTGGGGTAAGGCGGGTAGAGCTGTTATGAACTGTTGTGTATGAGTTTTGGGGTAAGGCGGGTAGAGCTGTTATGAACAGTTGTGTGTGAGTTTTGGGGTAAGGCGGGTAGAGCTGTTATGAACAGTCGTGTATGAGTTTTCATTTCTTTATACTTTTTTTTTTTTTAAAGAAACTGCCAAACTGTTTTCCAAAATGGTGGTACCATTTTCTATTCCCACCAAAAGTAATCAGTTCTTCCATATCATAGCCAACATTTGATCTTGTCACGATTTTTTATTTTAGCCATCCTGATAGGTAGTATTGATAGCTCATTATGGTTTTAATTTGCATTTCCCTAATGGCTAATGATGTTGAACATCTTTTCATGTGCTCATATCATTTTTCATAAGCTGTCTGTTCACGTGTTTTGCCCAATTTCTAATCATTTTTTCACTATTGAGTTTTAAGAGTTCTTTATATATTTTAGATACTAGTCCTTTGTCAGGTTTGTCATTACAGCTGTTTTTTCCCAGTCTACAGCCAGTCTTCTCATCCTTCTGTAGAGCAGAAGTTTTTAATTTTGATGGTGTCCAGTTTATCAGTTTTTCCTTTTATGAATCATGCTTTTGGTGTCAATCTAAGAACTCTGTGTCTAGCTGTAGGTGCTAAAGATTTTCTCCCGGCTAAGGGTTTATATATTTAAAGCAATATAAACAACAGCATAAAACTGTCATCATTTTTCCATCTGTGGAGTACCTTGTTAGGTCAGGCAGCAGACATGCCCCTTTCTGACAGAGGGATTACCACGTCACCTAGGGGCTGTATGCTTACATTCTCCAGTGTCCTACAACCGTCCAGAGAACATAACGTGCGGTTACTTCAAGCTCTAGTGTTGTCAGTTTTGTGTATCAAAGTCTTGTTTAGAAAAGCTAACTCTGAGGTAAGGTCATCTTTTTTCATCTTTGTATTGTCTGACTCATATTTTTATTTTTATGTTTGTATTTCTAGTTATTTGTTCCATAGTGGCAACCAAGAACATCCAGGGGATATTCTGCTAAATACAACGGTGGAAGTTTTGCCTTTTAAGGTATGACTGTTTTTTCCCCTTAACTTTCCTTAAGGACTACTGCCAGTAGACTTGGTTTGCGGTTATTCTTATTTATGTGTTGAAAGAAAGTTCTCTGCAATGACCTTTCAGGACCTCGGTGGTGAGTAATACTAATTTTTTTTTTTAAACGTGAAATACCAAAAGATTGGCCCATTTGCTTCATTTGTAGAAAGAGCTTTCATTTTGTTTTCTGTTGGACAAGAGCTTGGAAGTTTATACTAGGAAAATAAATGAATCATTTTACTTTGTTGTTACCTGCTGTTTGTATTTTGAGTCTAAAATACCATTTGGTTTTAATGTCTGCTGATTAATATACAAAATTAATTTATTGGTCTCTAGGGAATGCTTAGATTTCTTTGAAGTTAACACACAGTTCTTTACTTCTGTACATTTTTTAAATAGAAAATAATGTTTTTCTGTTAATGTTTCTTTTTTCTACTGCCAACATATTTTATACAAATTCAGGTGATGGTTTAAAAAAACTTATTGATAAGTCTTTTAAGCTTTAAGGCTGAGATGACGTTTCTGTTTTTAGAGAGCTGTGTCACAAATTCCCCTTTTATATTTATGAAGATAAAATAATAACTGAGATTTGTTTAAGTAGAAGCAACTATTTGTTAAACTAATGCTTCTGTTTTATTTTAGAGTGAAGGATTGGAAATAAACAAAGAAACCAAAGACAAACAGTTAGAAGATGGTTATTTCAGGATAGGTAATACCTACTTTAAACTCATAAAATGTCCTTTACTTTTCTGGGCTTACTCCTGAGCTGTAATTTTTAATTCTTTTCAGATATTAAGCAACTTTAGGATTACAATTACAGTGTACTCCAAGTTTTATTTGTTCTTGCTTTTTAGCACTTCTATTGTCTTGACCCAGCCAGAGTTTTAGATCCAGTCACTCACTGGCTCCTCATCCTTTTTCCATCTGCCATCTCTCTGTTGGCATTGTCTGGTAATCTGCCCTCAGCTGCCTTCTGCTGTCTCTTAGTGGATGAGCTTAGCCATCCTCATGGTTTCAGATAACATCCCTATGCCAGAGTCCGTGACTCTAGCCCCTGTTTCCCTCCTGAGCTTCAGCTCTGTGTGACACAGCTACCTGCAGGTCACATAGCCATCTACTCTGAACATTTGTAACACAGACATTTCTTTAGGGTCCGGGTTTCCTGTCACAATTCATCTAGTTGCCTAGGCCTAAACCTTGGGAGTCACCCTAAACGCCCCCTCTCCCTCACGGTCCGTTAGTGTCATAGTGCCATAAGCAGCTCTGTCTCTCATGGTGCTCTGTGCCCTCTGCCTCGATCTCAGAGCCCAGAAAGGACGGCATCTTCCTGGGTCCTCCTGCTGGTTGTCCACATGGCCACTGCAGTTACCTTCCTGAAATGTGAATGGAACTCTGTTAACCTGGGGAAACCCTTTAATGACGTTCCAGTATCTGACTCCTTGACTCCCACCCTCCTTCCAGGCTGCACATCTTGCTCCTTTCCCCTTGTTCTCTATGTTTTCCAGTCCTAACACTGTTGTTCCTCCACTCAGGGTCCCATGCTCTTAGGGACAGCCATGTCTCTAGTCGTTTTGTTTTCCTGAAATTTTCCATCAGTGTGCTTTCCTATCCTTTATTAACCAGTCTAATTGTCCTCCTCTCTGCTCTTCATACCACACGCGTGTGCCTTTGCTGTGTAATCATCACGTTGCTCACGGCTCTGTTCTCTGTGCTCCCCGTGTAAGAGGAGAGGCGTGGTCTCTTATCTGACTCCTGCAGTTCACACGGGGCCTGTCATTTGACAAATATTTACTCAGTAAATGATCATACATTTTCTTTTACTTAAAATGAATTCATGCTTTTGTTAGTAGCAGGCAAAAGAGAATGTTGCTAAATTAATATTTTAGATATACAGCATATATACATTCTTACAGATCTGCCCGGAGCCGTTTTACATTTGATGAGTGCCTTTTAGTTGTTGCTGCGAGGCTTGTGCAATAAACCTACCTAATTTTGATGGCGTTGTGGTGCACAGATAAGTTTAGTTATTTTTATGTTTGAGTTGCACCTTTTCGGAAAGTACGTAAAACTAGTTGAGCACGCAAGATATTTATTACCCCTATTACCTATCAATTATTTAATTTCTAAGACTGTTGTGCTCCAGATTATGAGAGTAGCATAGGAAATAGAGAAGTCTATATTAAATAGCTCTGCAGTAATTTGAAGATAATGATCATCTAAAACATCAACTCATAATTGTTTAAGAATCAGAGGAGACCTTATGGATCCTCAAGGTCAGTACCTCGTGTAACAAAAATGCCTATCAGAAATCAACAGCTACCATATTTTTATGCAAATAATGCGTGCATTCTGTTTTTTTTGGCCAATCACACTCCCCCCCACCACAAGGTATTTTCATAAGCATGCTATGCCAATTGTTGTACATGTTGTTGTAAAAAAAAAATTAGCATAGCACACTTACAAAAATACCTTGCAAGGGAAGGACATGGTTGGCAAGCCAGTGTAGAACGTGCATGTTATTTGCATAAAAGTACGATAATTTTTTTCAACTGAATATAGAAAATTCTCCCATAAGAAGTATGCTTTTGTGGAACGATAGTGGAGCTCCACAGACCCTCTCCCCATCGAAACAATTATAACTGGTAAAAGTTATTAAAAAAACAAACTAAATCCTTTGAAAATTGTCCTAAGGACATACAGCAAATAGAGAAGCATTTATTCATGAAAATGTACTAAATCTCGGTAAGAATATTAATAGTCTGTGGCATTTGAGCCATGACCTGCTTCATTACTCACCCTGCCCAAGCTCAGTGGGACAGAACCTCTACTCTGGGCAGGTACAGCCAAGCGCACAGGACTCCCTCTCCTTTCAGCTCTCAGTCTAGGATTATGGTATCTCCCTGGAAGGGGCACACCGCCAGCATTTATCGTCACCCCCAGCTCCACGTTGCAGAAACTCTGTTCCTGGCAAGGATAATGAGAGGTCCAAGCCTCCCTATCTCAACCCAGACTCCACTTGTAGGGCGAAAGCTCTACCCCAGGGCACTTGCTCGCCTTAGCATTCTGAGGGGCAAGCTAAGAAAACCAAGGGCTACTGCCACAACCCAGTACTGTGCTCGCAAATCAGGGGTGTTACTCAGAGAAGCGGGCTGCCAACCCCACCTAAAGATCCTGAGCAGTGTTGCAGAGATTTTGCAAAGCAGAGACAGGCCATAAGAGCAGAGAGCTTTATTGCTCTCCCCAAGGAGATTGACTTTATTTGAAGCAGAGCTTGGGAAGTTCAAGCCCGAGGGCTCTGGGGAAAACAATGGAAGTTTTGGTGGTAAGCAATTAAGAGGAGGCTAGTAGCTCCATGATATCAACAAGCTAAACTGTAGCCCAGCTAGAATTTTAGCAGAGATAACCAGGAAAAGAAGGGCCCTTTTGGGGTTGGAACAAGCCTCAAAGACTGGCATTAAAGACTATCCCATATTTAATGGGGTTAGACTGTTGAGCAGTTTATGTCTCAGGGCATTGTCAAAAACAATAGACCCATCAACCAGCAGTTAGGGAAAGTTGACAGCTGAATGTGACACCTGTGGAGAGGCAGACCAGCTAAAAAGTTACCAAGTAAGGAAAAGAGACAGTTTAGAAAGCCTTGATAAAACCATCATCATCCCAGTGGGTGGGAGAAAAACTGCACTGGAGTTAGTAAACCACCATCATCCCAGGGTGACTGTGTTCATGCCCAAAGCTGTTGCTCTCTGAGGAGTGACATCAGAGGCTGCACATTCACTGAAATGGACTTTATTGAAATAGTCCAGCCAAGTCAACAATAAGTCATGGAAGGAGGGGAGACTTAGTATCCAGAATTGCTACAATGTGTACCTAAAATGTTTTCAACAAAAAATCAAGACATGGAGAGAAACAGTAACATGTAACCCATACTAAGCAAATAAAGAGGACAACAGAAGCTGCCTTTGAGAGGGTGTAGTTGTTTGACTTAGCAGACAGCAACTTCAAAGCACCTGTTATAACTATATTCAAAGATCTAAGGAAGGTGTGATGACACTGTCTCACCAGATAGAGAGGATCAATGAAGAGACAGACAGTATGAAAACAAGGAACCAACCAGAAATTTTAGAGTTGAAAAATATGATAACTAAAATAAAAAATTTACTAGAGAGGCTCTCAACAGTAGATTTGAGCTGGCAGAAGAAATAATCAGCAAACTTGAATACATTGATGGAGACTATGCAAAAGTATCTAAAGAACAAAGAGACAAAGGAAGAAAGATAATGAACAGAGCCTCAGAGAAAGGTGGAACACATTAAGTGCACTAACCTATGCTTAATGGCAGTACCAGTAAGAGAGAAGAGAGAGGAAGGAGCAAAAAAAATATTCAAAGAAGTAATGGCTGAAAACTTCCCAAATTTGATGAAAAACGTTAATCTATACATCCCAGAAGCTGAACAAACCCCCAGTAAGATAAATAGAGATCTGTCCCCAGACACATCATAGTTAAAATCTTGAAAGACAAAGAGAAACTCTGGAGATCAACAAGAAAAAAACTTGTTATGTACAAGGGAACCCCAATAAGAGTAACATCTGACGTCTTGTCAGAAACAATGGAGGCAGGAAGGAAGGGGGATGACATTCAGTCATTAAAAAAAAAAAAAACTTTTTCAATCGAGCATTTTATATTCAGCAAAACTATCTTTCAGAAATGAAGTTGAAATGAAGACATTTCCAGATAAACAAAAACTGAGAGAATTCATTTCTAGAAGACCCCTTTCAAGTTATACTAGAGGAAGTTTTTCAGGCTAAAAGCAAGTAATACCATACAGTAATTCAAATCCACATGAATAAATGAAGAGTGCTTTTCTTAGTCATCTAGTACTGCTATAACAGAAATACCACAAGTGAGTGGATGGCTTTAACAAAGATAAATTTATTTTCTCACAGTCTTGTATGCTAGAAGTCCAAATTTAAGGTGTTAGCTCTGGGGAAGGCTTTCTCTGGCAGCTCTGGAGCAAGGTCCTTGTCAACAGTCTTCCCCTGGACTAGGAGCTTCTCTGCTCAGGAACCCTGGGTCCAAAGGATGCGCTCTGCTCCTGGCACTGGTTTCTTCGTGGTATGAAGTCCCCAACTGTCTGCTTGCTTCCCTTTCCTTTTATTTCTTGTAAGATAAAAAGGTGGTGCAGGCCACAATCCAGGGAAACTCCCTTTACGTTGAATCAGGGATGTGACCTGAGCAAGGGTGTTACATCCTACCCTAATCCTCTTTAGCCACAGGCAGAGATTATGATTTATAACACACAGGAAAATCACGAAATGGAGGACAACCACACAGTACTGGAATCATGGCCTAACCAAGTTGACACGTATTTTTTGGGGAGCACAATTTAATCCATTACAGTGCTGGTGAAACCAATTATGTAGGCAGTTATAGAAGACCGTGTAATTTGCATATTCTTTTCATCTCTTAACCTATTTAAAGTCAGTTGTATAAAACTATATGTATGTAACTGTATTATTGGGTCTATAACTTATAGAAATGTAGCATAGTTGATGCAACAGCGTGAAGGAAGTGTGTGGGAGAAAACTGTATTTGAATTAGTGAACACCAGGTGGTGATTTAATTCTAGAGAAACAAATGAGAACCAAAAATGATAAATAAGAAGGTTGTGTAGCAAATTCTATAAATATATACTTGCTCTCCTTTCTTGTCTCATCTTCTTTAAAAGATAAAGTTATATAAAATATTAATTATCAATGTATTGTTGAGTTTGTAACATATATACACATATTGTGTATCCACAGAAAAACTATTGGAGCTAATAAGCTAGGCAGCAGGGTCACAGAATGCAAGCTCAATATACATAAATTAGGTGGTGCAAACGGTTAACATGCTCAGCTGCTAACTAAAAGGTTAGAGATTCGAGTCTACCCAGTGGGACTTCGGGAAAAAAGGCCTGGCAATCTATTTTTTAAAAAAATCAGCCATTGAAAACCCTATGGAGCACAGTTCTACTCTGACACACATGAGATTGCCATGAGTCAGAGTTCAAAAGAATGAAAGAATATTAGTAATAAAAGCACCTTATCACGATCTGAAAATATGGTGTTGGTTTACGTGTTTGTGGTTTATCTGTTTCTCCCTCCTATGAGCCCTGGTGGTGCAGTGGTTAAATGCTTGGCTGCTAACTGAAAGGTTGGCGGTTCAAACCCACCAGCCTCTCCATGGAGAAGAGATCTGGCAATCTGCTCCCGTAAAGGTTTACAGCCTTGGAAACCTTGTAGGGGAGTTCTGCTGTTTCCTGTAGGGTCACTATGAGTAGGAATCGACTTGACACCAGTGGGTTTGGTTTGGTTTTGGTCTGTCTGCCTTTACGCTGCGACGGCAGAGCTGAGTGAATAGTTGCAGTAGAGACCAGTGTGGCGCTCTCATTGCTCCCCGCTGCTGCTTGGTGCACTGCACATCACAGTGATGCACTTAGAATTTGACAGTCCCAAGTGCCATACTTGTCACCACACTGCACCGTTATCACTGCTTACTCATCATGCCAAAACACGAAAGGAATAGTGAACTTTAAATGTTGTACTTTTACACTGTGGAATGTAGAGTATTTTACAGAATTAGATGACAAAGCATTGTGTTTATTCTGCAGTGACGTAGTGTGCTAAGAATATATTACCAGCCTAAGCACTCACAGCAGTATTCCCAGCTCACAGGAAAGCAGTGGTCTGAAACAGAAAAATTCAATGGACTATCACATCACAGCAGAATTTCTTCACAAAAATAAAAAAGTTAGAATGAGGCTATAACCAAAATAAGCTTCCAAGTGGCTCATTTTAGCCAAGCAAGAAAAACCATTTACAATGGTGAGTTAATTAAATCATATTTAATTGCAGCAGCCATAAAAATGTGTACTGGAGCAAATAAGCTTATTAAAGACTATTAGGCCATCAGCAACAACCAAGGACGTTGGGAGCAACATCAACAGTCACTTAAAAAGCAACACAAGAATGTAAACAGATCAGTGTGCACCAAAGTTCGTTGCAGCACTGTTCACAGTAACCGGCAGATGAATGGCTAAACAAAATGTGGTTCATACGTACAGCGGATGACTCTGCCCTGAAATGAAGTCCCAACACATGGTATAACGTGGATGAAGCTTGAAAACGTTATACTGAGTGTCACAAAAGGACAATTCCACTTATACGAAATATCTAGAATAGGCAAATGAATATTTAGACCAAAGTTTATTAGTGGTTACCAGGGGCTGGAGAGAGAAGGAAAGGGGGAGTCTTTGTTTAGGGGGCATGGACCTACTTTTAGGAGTTAATGGAAAAATTTGGAAACAGAGTGTGGTGGTGGTTGCACCATGTGAACGTAATTAATGCTGCTGATTGTACCTGTAACAGTGCTAAAATGGCAGGTGTTACTGATACCGCTCACTTGTTACATATTCAAAGCATCAATACAGAGTTTGCAGTGACTGAAGATTTCGCTTCTATGAATACTATGTGTGGAACAAACTACAGACCAGAATATTTTCAAACAAGTCAAGAAACAAATTCAGTACTATCTGAAGTAGAATCTACTAAGATGTGTTAAATCTGATGGTGGTAAAAACTTGTGGAGCAGAGAATGGCTTGGTTGGAAAAATTTACAAAGCTTGTGAAAAATGTAAAGTGTTCAAAGCCTGTGGTTAGTCACTGTGTTACACATCAGGAGGCACTTTGCAGAAAGTATTTAAATCTGTCATGTGTTACTGAACCCATAGTGTCGACTGTGGTCTTTTTTCACTCTCGTAAATGTTGAGAGCCATCATCGGTTCCATAAATTTTTTTCAGAACAGAAAGTGCATATCCTGACTTGCTCTGCCACACAGCAGTTCCATGGCTCAGCACTGTGAAAGACTTGTTGCAATATTTATAGCTCAGATTACAGACTTGATAACATTTGTTAATTGAACCTAAAATTACAAGGCAAAGCATTGCTTATCTGCAAAACTTACATTGTGGTGAAATCACTTGGATGACAGCATTGTTTGAACAACAAGGAATAATATCACATTGTTTTATACACTTACTGTGCTGTCAGAGTTAAAATAGAAAGCAAAACGCCTGTCCTCACACAGATTTGCAGTGGATACATTGTCCGAGCTCAAACTACAGTTCCCGCAGTGTTCAGACCTCAATGCAGGTGAAAAAGAAATTTCCATATTTCAAAATCCATTCAGCTGTGCCACTGAGGAGCTTCAACCTAACGTTCAACTGGAAAGGATTCATCCAGAAGGCAGATACCAAGAGAGAAATCTGATAGAATTCAATAAATACCTTCTAGGCGATGCGTGGGCGGAGTTAAAATCTTGTGCTCGTGGATGAGTGTCAGTATTTGGCGGTACCTAGCTGTGTGAAAAGACAAAAATATATAAAATCTCGTTACAGATCAGCATTACCAGATGAACATTTACAATCGATTTTGATGGTAGGAACACTTTGAACCCCAATTAAGTGAAATCTTATCCTAAAAAAAAAGGAATTACATTATTCTCCTTAGTACACCTCGATTACAAAGAAATGTACTCAATTATTTTAAAATCATTGATAGAGATTTGTTTTTTCTCTTGCATATATTTTCCTAATAGCCTTGATTTTCCTCTTGGCTCACAAAGCCCAAAATACTTGTTAACTGCCCTTTTACAGAAAAATCTCCCCACCCCTGGCATAAAGAAATGATGTCCAGAGAGAACATTTTTGCTGTCATTTTATTGACAGCATGGATTTTTTTGCTCGTTTGGTTGGTTGGTTGGTTTTAAGCAGGATATTGCTCTTCACAGCGAGAAAAATTGAGTCCAGAGCATGTTGCCTTTTATAGACGTTCGTGGTCCTTATTCTCACCGGAGGGCTTTCTGAAGCTTGTCATTGTAATGGAGTTTCCCATTGGAACGGTGTAGAGGACACATCAGTTCTTCATTCTTCCCAGATGTGCCCTTGGCCAACCACTGTGTATGTCTAATTAAAACATTGAATAGACGTTCGTGGTCCTTATTCTCACCGGAGGGCTTTCTGAAGCTTGTCATTGTAATGGAGTTTCCCATTGGAACGGTGTAGAGGAGACATCAGTTCTTCATTCTTCCCAGGTGTGCCCTTGGCCAACCACTGTGTATGTCTAATTAAAACATTGAAATGTGTTATTATTGACAACCCTCAAAGCAGTCAGATTGGGTGACAGTAGATGATATTTCGGTGAAGTTTGGATAAGCCTCATGTTGCTGAAAATCTGTATGTGAAAGCATTGTTGATACAAGAAACCTCCTTGGTTTTTTTTTTTTTTTTTTTTTATTTGCAACAAGGAAAAGTATAGTTCCTGCTACTTAAATAGGTTGCTTTTAATAATTTTAAGCATGCACTCCTTCATAAAAAATTGAAAAGTTGAATAAAAGTGGAAAGCAGGAAAAAAATCATCTAAGGACGTCTGCTGGAAATGTTTCAGTGTATTCCTCTCCTGTCTTCTGTGAGTGATATTTTACATGTACCTGTCTCAGTTGGCCCAACAAGCGTTTGTTTTTATCTTGAAGGGAAATTTGAGAATGGTGTTGCAGAGGGAATGGTGGATCCAAATCTAAACCCCATCTCTGCCTTTCGGCTTTCGGTTATTCAGAATTCTGCTGTTTGGGCCATTCTCAATGAGGTAAGGCGTGTGGTACAGGAATCAAAGCCTGAGGTACTGTGTTGTTTGTAACCTTTTGATTCTGTGTGTAAGATCTTTTTGGAATTGAGAATTTACTGCTTTATCATACTTCTTTTTTCTATTTCAGATTCATATTAAAAAAGCCTCCAACTAATCATCTCCTAAGAACCGATACATTTTTTCCTGTGAATTTGTTAAAGATAGTTAAGCATGTACTTTTTTTTTTTTTTTTACTTGAACACTACCTCTTGTGAAATCTACTGTAGATAAGAAGATTGTCATTTCCGCTTGGAAAGTGAATCTCCCTTGGATAATTGTATTCATTTGAACCTAAGCTGTCCTCCAGTTTGAACTTGATTCCAGCATTTTACAGTTATGACAGCCTGTTGATATGACTTGTACTATTTTGGTATTATACTAATACATACAAGTTGTACATATTGTTACATTCCTTAAATTGGGAAAAAATCAAGGTTAAATACATTTTATGAAGGGGGTACTTTTGAAGTTCATTTATTTTCTATTATAGACCCTCTTTTATAGATTATCAGGGATTATATATATAAAAATATAAATATACAGAAAAATGTTATGGAGTTAATTTATTAGAAACACTTAAGAAGTACATATTTTTGTGCAGTAAATTTTTGAATTGATACTTTTTTTGAAAACCAGTTACCTTGCTTTTTTAAGTTCTTTCTATATTTTCCTTTGGAGATGTAAACATTACAACTTAATGCCATTTTTCAGATGCACTGCCATTAAGAGTGATTCTAGATTGATTTCCTAACTGAAGTGCTTTTATAATCAGTGATTCTGAACAAAATATTTTCAAAGGCGTTTGTCATTCCTTAAAGCCAAGATTTTAAAGACCAGTGTCCTTCCTGAGTGCTGATCCACTGTACTGTGTATGGTGGATAGCCGCAGAAAGTCGGTCTGACACCTAGTGGTGCACAGGTGTGATGCACTCATCCTTAATGAGACCTAACTCGCCATGTTTCCCTCTGGTATGTAAAATGACAGACTCTTCTTTCCTTTTTAATCATTGTCTTTAATCCATGAGTAGATGCATTGGTTCTTTTCTTGTTCATTCTCTTTTATCTGCACACATGTTACGAGTTCTGAGAAAATGTTTTCTAGGAAATGCTGCTGTATGAATCATAAGATAATTGGTATAATTTTAAAGAAAAATAAACTTGTAATATTGGTTTTTGGTGAAAGGTATTGTAGCAATTGTATGTTTTACCAAAATAATTATTCCATTACATTATGAACTTACAAGAAAACCCCAAAAAGAATATTTATTACTCTTAATCGTGCAATTCCAAACACTAGTATTATTATCGTCAGCAAAGAATATTATCAGCTTCAGCAGTCAGAGATCTTTACACAAGTACTTTGTTTTTTAAAAAGTATGAATTATGAACATCCGAGCTTCCCAGCCAGCATGCATGGACGCACTGGTGTGCCTCAGGTGGGATGTGGGTGGTTCACAGATGTGCAGAGAGTGGGCCCTCAGCCTGCAGCCCGGAGGAGCTTCATCTGGTCACCCAGCGTGCTGAGCGAGCAGCCTCGAGCAACGCCATTTCCTGTGCGGTGCTCGGAAGTGTAGAAGGTTGGCGAACACTGGCTTCGTGCGCTCCCCTCCGTCCCTCCATGCTGTAATCGTCTTTAGTTACTTTCCTTAATTAAAAACTCACACGTTGCCAAGAATGATTTTTATGTCAGTTAAAGTCCAGTTAAAATCTGAGTCTGGTTTTTCATTTACTTTTCTTTAATTTACTTTTTATTCTCTCCTCAAATTTCCTTGGACCAGTGCCCACAGGCAGATTTCATTTGAAAAGAAGAGTAACCTTTCAATATAAATTTTTGGCACCAGCATAGCATACTGAATCTCTGCTAGAACGACTGAGTAACACAAGGTAAAAATCTGTGGAGGTGGGTTTCAGAGGCTTCCCTGGGCTCCTGAGTAGCCAGCTGTGCTTTCCAGAAGAAAGTCTGTGCTTTGAAAACAAGGGAGGGGAAAGTTATTGCAGCTCCTTGCCATTTGTATGGCCTCTTTAAAGATGGAGTCTTGTCTAGCCAGCTTTTTCTGTTTTGTGCTCAGCCTCCCCGCAGGCTTTCCTCAAGCTGATCTTTAACCTCCCTCCTGTTCCAAAGAATACTTTTAGCCAAATCTGATTCGTCTTTCAAGGGCCGTGTGGTGCCCTCCTTCCATGATTTCCTTACCAGTGCCGAGCAGTGCCTGGAAGAGTGGCCTGCCCAGTCAGCGTCTGGACGAGTGGACCAGCTGTTCCAGCTCACAGTCAGTCTTAATTCCCTTTATTCCCTTAATTCTCTTTACTTACTATCCCTGCCACACATACACACTCAGTTGTCTAAGTTTTGATTGATTGTGGAATATGTACACGTGTTTGTGTATGTGGTTTCTCTGACAAACTTCAGGCTCCTTGAAGGCAAGCCCATGCTCATACTCTTTACCTATCCTCTGCTCATTGTTACTTGAGGGCAAGCCCACACTCATACTCCTTACCTGTCCTCTGCTCATTGTTACTTGAGGGCAGGCCCATACTGTACTCCTTACCTATCCTCTGCTTGTTGTTTCTTGAGGGCAAGCCCACACTCATACTCCTTACCTGTCCTCTGCTCGTTGTTACTTGAGGGCTTGCCCATACTCTGACTCGTTAACCTGTCCTCTGCTCATTGTTACTTGAGGGCAAGCCCATACCATACTCCTTACCTGTCCTCTGCTCGTTGTTACTTGAGGGCAAGCCCATACCATACTCCTTACCTGTCCCTCTGCTTGTTGTCTCTTGAGGGCAAGCCCATACTCATACTCCTTACCTGTCCTCTGCTCATTGTTTCTTGGGGGCAAGCCCATACTCATTCTTCTTACCTGTGCTCTACTCCTTGTTAGTTGCTCCCCCGTTTCTCCCCAGTTCCACACTAGACAATTAGAAGCAGCCATGCTTTCCTCAGGAAAGAAATTGTGATAGTGTCCTTTAAGAGTAATGTTAGGGAGTGAAGTTTCAGGGACAGAAGACTAGAGGAGTTGCATATTCCTTGGAACTGAGGGAAAGTAAATACTTGAAGGTGAGAACACACTTAACTACACTTTTACCAAAATATTTAGTGGGAAAAGTGTCAAATGGTGGGATTGATTACATATAAAAATAGGAAATGGCTTGGTGTCTGATGCGTATTCCACGTAAACGTCAGACTCTAGGTCTGCGCTGTTCCATACAGTAGCCATTAGCCACATGGGACTGTTTAAACTAATAAAATAAATTCAGTTCCTCAGTCACACTAGCTGCATCTCAAGTGCTGAGTAGTCGCAGGTGGCTAGTGGCCACCGTGTTGGACAGCACAGAAGTGGAACATCCCATCACTACAGAAAGCTCTCTTAAACAGCACTGTTCTAGAGTGCTGATAACGAACATCTCAGAAGCCAGAATTAATTCTCATTATGAGGTTAAGAGCAGACATGCAGAATATACCATAATGCAAATAATGATGGGTAGTTTGGGTGAGAAGAAAAGGTGGAGGACCTAGAGTCTATTTCTAGGATTCTAAGATTCAAGATTTCTAAATTCATAGTTTCAAGTCTCATGCATTGTCCATAGCATGCACTGTACCATACTATGTAGTCAAAAAAGCTTACCAGTTTGAGATAGTGTGTGTATTAGACTGGGTTCTCTAGAGAAGCAAAACCAGTAAAGCGTATAAATACATATATAGAGAGAGTTATATCAAAGAAACAGCTCACATGATCATAGAGGCTGAAACTTCCCAAGTCCATGGATTAGGATACAGGTTTCTCCTGATTCACATAGCCGCAGGGGCTGGCAAACCCAAGATCGGCAGGTCGGAGAGCAGGGCTCTGCTCACAGGCTGTACCAAGATCGGCGGATACGCTGATAGCTCAAGTCCCAAGAACTGGAGGTCAGACGAACAGGAGGCAGTCACAGGATCCAGAGCGAGCAAAAAGCCAGAATGTCTGCTTATATTTGGGTGCAGGCAACACCCCCAAGGAAACTCCCTTTCAACTGATTGGCTACTCAGAAGATTCAGTCATGGGAGTGATCACATAGAAACACTGAGAATCATGGCCCAGCCAAACTGACACAACAGTCTCAACCATCACAGTGTGATAGAAAAGCTTTGGGAAGAGTTAATGCAACTGCATTATCTAGCACGTAGGCTATAGACACTTTATATATGTGTATATTAATCTAACCATCAGAGATAACTTCGAACAAAGGTACAGCTTTTCAAACCAAGGGTTGCACTAGTAAATGATAAGCAGGTGTGGTTATTTTAGACCATAAAGTTCTGAAGGTTTTTTAAAAATGGCATAATAGTGAAATAAGTTGTTTCCAATAATGCTGTCCTTCAAAGAAGTTGGTTATATGGAAGCAGCACGTTTGGAGAGGTTGCTCTAGTTTATTAGCAGTGTGTATTTATGGGAGGCAGACATCTAAGAATGACCCTCAGTGGCCCTCGGCCTTGGGTACGGTCCTACTCCTTTGAGTGTGGGTCAGACTTGTGAGTATGACCCATGATTATTATGTTATATAGGAAAAGGGAGATTATCCAAATGGGCCTGAGCTCATCACGGGAGCCCTTTAGAAGCAGTTTTCTCAGACTGGGAGTGGAAGTCGGAGACTAAAAGCAGGAGACAGGAACGCAGGTGGCCTCGAGGAGCTGAGAGAGGCCTCTGCTGGCAGCCAGGGAGATGGAAGCTCAGCCTCACAGCCACAGAACCCGAGTTTGGCCAGCAATGTGAAGGAGCTTGAAAGTGGCTTCTTCTCCAGAGCCTCTAGACAAGAGCCCAGCCAGCCAACACCGTGATCCTGGTCATGTGAGACCCCAGTCGAGGCTGCCTGGACGTCTGACCTTCCGAAGTGTGAGATAAGAAGCGGGTGTTGTAAGCCGCGTAATTTGTGGTAATGTGTTATGCAGCAGTAGAAAACTAACATAGTATTTAAAAGAGGTAAAGAGGGAAATGCCCTCGTATTGATTCCATATAGTATGTTGGCTATTTCTTGATGGACACGTGAATAAACTCGTATGCTAGCAAATGGTATACCTAGGTCGCCTCTGGGATACACTCTTCCAGAGACCTCTAGTTGTCTTCCTTGCAGCTTGCTAGTAGGATTTCCTAAAGGAACTGCTGGATCGAGATTGTAGGAATAGGGTTAAAACAATGTAGAAGGGATCTTTTCCGGAAGAGGTATTCATAGTGCTTTAGGGTGCTGTGAGCCTGACAGAAGTGTTTTACTTCAGAATGGTAAACGGTAGTATTTTAAGTGTTCTGTTACACTGAGGAAAAAACAACATCTGCCTTCATGTAGAGATCAGGTAATCCACTCTGTGTTGAAGGACTTCATTTTTGTTAACCACAGCTCTAGTTTGCTGTCTAGCACAGATAAAATCCTTCATGTGCCAACCCAGTTTTTGTACTCTGAAAATGTTTCCCAGAATACCTCTCTGCTTCCAAGCCATTCGTTGCTAATAAAATTTGTTTTCATTTTGGTTTATCCATTAATTTTTGTGCTTGCTTTTCCTAGATTATCATGGGCTGTGTGTGAGAAAAGTAGTACTAATGGGAAGAAGATGAGAGGCGAAGAGTGTCAGAGTCAGAAATTTGAGCCATAATCCTATTTTCTTGGTGTCAGGAACTGAGCTATCCAGTGCAGTCCCTTTCTTTCATAGAAAAGGAAACTTTTCCAAGCTGTGTAGTAGCATTTAGTGTGTAAGATTTCAGTTTTGATAGTTGTGAAATTTTAAATTATTAATCTTAAGATACATGCTGTGATACATAATATGCTTACTTTCTTTAATGCATGTGAACATATAATGCTGAAAAGACTATTAGCACTGTATTATTTATTAAAAAAACAAACAAACGTAGGATTTTGTTACACATACTGATACATGAATACCTACATATCAACTCCTCTCTTCTTGCCTGAAACACTTCACCAGTGTAGGCGCTAGCTAGGTCATTTTCAAAGAACAAACGAGAATGAGCGAGCCAGCACGCCAGCGTCTCCGGGCTGAGGATTTAGAAGACATTGGTCAGGAAGGTAAACTGAGTGCTGAAGGAAAGCACTTTGTGCAGTCTCTTTCCACTGTTGTTAACATTGCAGTGAAAACGTAAAGATTAGTGGTGCTGAAATTGTTCTAAAGTAAGGCTTGTTTGTGGGGCAAACTGGGAAACTAGGAAGTTAGGGGGCTGTTGTACATGACACTTGCTCCTGCTGGCTTCACCGTATTAATTAGCAAGTTATCCTGGAATCAGAGGGTCGGTACTTTAGTTTGCTTCGCATTCCATTATTTAATTTGAAATGCTGTTTGCTGAAATCTGGTGACGATCCCTTTTGAAGATATATTCTCTGAGCCTTAAAAGCGGCTGATGCGGACGGGACTGCACGACGCACTGCCAGGTTTATAGCTGTCATTTCAGTACCTGACTGCGATGTTTTCTATGACAGATTCGGAAATCAGCGTAACAATTACGTTTCATTTATGGAATGAAAAACTAAAGTCTCATTCAGAAGCCTTCATTTGGAACAGTTGTGTCCATATTTGGGGATGGTTATGAACATGTCCCTTGGAGAAACTGCCTGAGGAATCTGTCAGGTTATACCAAGTTTTTTTCCTTCTTAAATGTATCCTACTTATTTTCCTTAAAATGTTTTCATTGATTGAATGGTTAATATCTGTAGTAATAGTTTAGGTACCTGTTGGATTCTTAAAAGATGATTTTCAAATTTGCTGCTGTAATTGGAAACTGGTCCTGTTGACTGTGCCTTCCATCCGTTTCTCTGCGCCTCAAACGTTCATGTGTATTTGAAATAAAGACGTTTGAAAAGCCACGTTGAATTCAAGATTCTTTCTAATAAAAGTGGGCAAAACTCAACGAGTAGTTTTTTTATTATTAACAGATACAGTAGTAGTTTACGTGATCTATTTTCAGTTAGAAAATGGGAGTGGGTTCTATATTTGGGTTTTTGACGTCTTTAAAGAACAAAAGGCCTTACTGCTAAGACAGCGAATCAGTGTTATACAGGTGTTCACTCTATTATATACACCATCCAAAAACAAAAAACACCAAACCCGTTGCTGTCGATCCCGACTCATAGCGATCCTGTAGGACAGGGGAGAACTGCCCCATAGGGTTTCCAAGGAGCAGCTGGTGGATTTGAACTGCCAGCCTTTTGGTGAGCAGCCGTAGCTCTTAACGGCTACACCACCGGGGCTCCACATACAGAGTACAGTTCCCAGCATAAGAGCAGCTGCCATGGGTTGCTTCAATCTAATGCATTTTGGTTTTTTGCATAGAAAATGCCGTTAACGATACTTCGGACGTGTAAAACAGTGAGTCCTGTTTGAGTTACATTACAGGCTAAGTAGGCTTCTGAAGGCTGGACTGACCATATGGTATATACGAATGTTTAAAATGCAGTGCACGAGAAACGGAGCTCGGCTGTGCACCTGGTCAGGGAGGTGCATGTTACTACCATGCTCTCCAACACGCCTTCAGAGCAGTGCGGAATCATCCTGAAAAGTTTCTATGTCTGTTTTCTCCATGCCCTTAGTACCTTGATGTCCTTCACATGTGTGCGCGCAGGCATTAGAATGAATAAAATACATGCTTTCATTTCAAAAATATTTATTACAGAAATGTACATTTCATTAGTTTTAAGGAATGTATTTGACAATAGTGTTCATGTGTATTTCCTCAGATTTGCAAACTTTACACCTTTAAGATATCCACAATGATAACTGATGTACACACTTTACAGGAAGTCTCCAGCGCTTCACCAACACTGCTGCCAGAGCTGAGCTCTGCAGCCTCTCTCCCTTCATTTCACTCTGTACTTGTAGAAGGAGCACAGCATGTGAGTGAAGTTCCACCCCAGTGCCAGTGACAGTCCATAGAGCAGAATGACAGGTGCAAACGGATAGAGAAGGATGACTGTATTCTTCAAGAATGGCAGTGCTGGAAAAGAAACATCCAAATTAATAAAAAGGGAAAACTGGTATGACTAAGAACAGAACATTTGGAGACAGCTCTTACTCCCACATGTGGTGCCAGAGAGGAAAGCAGATTTGAAGCAATAAACTGATGCAATCTACAGCCAGAGCGGCACACAGCCCTCCCGTGCTGGGTCCTCATTTCCGGTCTGAAGACACGGAGGAGAGGGGTTACCTGAGCACAAAGGCTGATCGAGAAGCCAGGACTCACTCAGAGAGGTTCAGTGTGAGAGACAAACATCACAAACCTTGGTAAGTGATGGACTTAAACCTGAGACTGCTTCAGAAGCCCCTAAGAGTCCATCTGAAGGCACCAACAGAGAGGAAGGTTGTTCAGGGAAGAACGCTCACCATTCGCGATTTCCCAGTGTCAAAAACCTGACATCGCCGCTCGGACCAGCTGAGAGCTCAACGGCAGGATCTCAGGCTTTTGGAAAGAAGTGGAACTCGGGCCGCCGAATCTCTGTTTCTTTATTGCTCGCTGCTTAGTGAGTGGGACCCTACCTAAGAATTTCTCATACAGGAAGTCCCCAGACTGGATCTGTGCTGCACCCCAAAGAAACTCAGCTAAAGGGAGTTACCAGGAGAGTTCTCAGAAGTCCACTTAGAGAAACCACAATGTTGCAGGGTTCTAAGCACAATTTAAAACACTTCCTGGAAATGTGTAAGCATTCCTTAAGAAAGCTGAATACGAAATGTCCCAAACATCTTCCCCAAAATGAAGCATTACAACTTGCGGGGAGTTAAGTGGTCCGTGGCAACAGAGCCAGAGGGAGGGACAGCAACAGGTCCCTGGCCAGAGAAGCCTGTGTTTCTAGGAGTTGTCTGTATTTGCAGTGAAGTTCTGATCACCCAGAACAGCAGGGAAGGAAGGGCTAAAAGCGCTAAGACAAAGGCTGAGAAACGTCTTCATTTTATTTAGCTCTATTTACTGTTTCTTAGTATGAATGGAGAATGGAGGATGTTCTTCATATTAAGAAAAATGAATGGACAGCAAGAGTTAACACTTGTACACATGGGTTAGAAAAGTTGGGCTGGATCTTGTCTAATCATCTATAGAGCCGTACAGTGGTCACAAAAATGGAAAACGAGGCAAAAGGATGATTCAAAAAGGTTTTAAACAGACTGAAATTCATATATCTGCATGCCCACACCGGACCCAACCCTTTCCTCACGGCACCCACTACTGGTAACCCGGAGCTTGAAAGCATGGGAGGAAAGCAGCCCTGGGTTCCTGCAGGTAACCCGGAGGTGACCGATAATGGTTTAACGCAGCTGCCTGAAACTACAAAACTGGCCCCAGTGCAGCTATGCCACCTTCTAGCTGTGTGACCAGGGGCAAGCGACTTCATCTCTCTATGCCTTCGTTTCTGTGTTTGAAAAACGGGCATCAAGATTAAATGAGAGAATAGCTATAAAACACGTGGGACCGGGCCTGTGAGTACTCCGTGACCGGAAGCTAGTACCATTACTATTACAACCTCCCCCTCCCTGCTAGGTTCCCAATATTAAAAAAAACTTTTTTAATTACTTACCACTGTATCCTAGGAAAGTTACATAGATATAATAGCCAACCGCAATCAACCATAAAGTATTCCCAACGAAATAGCCAATAAACGTGTCTGTTAGGATAACATCTGCCGGAAGAGAAGCACAGAGTGAATCTCCTCACCCATGCACACAGTGAGGGATTTTTGGTAATATTCAGAGAACTGCTGCTTACAGTTGATGAAGAAAAGCTGGATAAAATGCAAAATGACTAGGAGTGGGTAGAAAGCATTCAGATGCACGTCGAAGGCATAGCCCCACTCCACGTCATAATCTCTACTCTGTCGCTTCACTAAGTACTTGTTAGAGATGAACCTGGAAAGCAAAATTAAAATTATTTTCATAATACAATTAATTCATAATAAAATTCACTCTATGTACTGATTACCTTCTTCGTGCCAGGCACTATTTTAAATACTGGAGATCCAGCAGTAAACAAAACAGACAGAAATCCTTGCCTTCAATCTAGTGGGAGAAGACTGACAATAATATAACTAAGATAATTAAATTTATGTCCGACGATACGGTAGAGAACCACCAAATCTGCCGCAGAAGACCTCTTTAAGGAGTTAAAAAGCAAGGATGTCACTTCGAGGACTAAGTCGTGCCTGAGCAAGCCATGGTGTTTTCAATTGCCTCATATGCACATGAAAGCTGGACAATGAATAAGGAAGACCCAAGAACAACTGATGCCTTTCAATTGTGGTGTTGACGAAGAATCCTGAATACACCATGGACTGCCAGAAGAATGAACAAATCTGTCTTGGAAGGAGAATAGGCAGAATGCTCTTTAGATGTGAGGATGGTGAGACTTTATCTCATGCACTTTGGACATGTTATCAGGAGGGACCAGTCCCTGGAGAAGGACATCATGCTTGGTAAAGTAGAGGGTCAGCGAAAAAGAGAAAGACCCTCAGTGAGATAGACGGACACAGTGGTTGCAACTATGGGCTCAAGCATAAACAATTGTGAGGATGGCAGAGGACCGGGCAGTGTTTTGTTCTGCTGTACACAGGGTCGCTATGAGTTGGAAGTGACTCAACAGCACCTAATAAGAAACAACAATGGATCTTAAATCAGATGGTCATGAGAAAGTGCCGTTTGGGTAAAGACCCAGGGGTAGTGATGGGAATGATCCGGGCACGTTTGAGGAATGATAGAGACCAGTGTGCCTGGAATAAGTGAAAAAAAAAAAAAAACACAATGAAATGAAATCAGAAAAGGAACAGGAACTAGATCTCATTGGGCCTTGCAGGCTACTTTCAGGCCTTTGGCCTTTATTCTTGGTGAGATGAGAAGCCATTGAAGAGTGTCCAGAAGTGTCTGACATGTCTCACAAGATCCCTCTGGCTGCCCATCTGAGAACAGACAACAGGGGACAAGAGTGGAAGCAAAGACACCAGTTAGAAGGCTCCTGCGAGTCAGATGAACAGGCAGCAGCAGCGGAGGCAGTGAGATGTGGGATAATACTGTATTTGGAAGACAGAGCCAAAAGGACGTGTTTAAGGGTTGGATGTGGAGTATGAGAAAAAAAGCAACAGCAAGGATGACTAGAAGGTTTTTGCCTTGAGCAAACAGAAAGATGGCGCTGCCCCTAGCCGAGGTGGGATGGCTGCAGGAAGAGCGGTTTGCGACAGGAAGGAGAATGCACACTTTTGGACTTGGACCTGCTGAAAATGCCTGTCAGTACGCAGCAAGAAGCTGTACATACAAGTCTAGCGTTTAGAGAGGAATCCAAAGTGAAGACATAAACTCCTCAGTGTGTAGATAATATTAAAAGCCACAGGCCTGAATGAGACATCAAAAGAACAGCACAGAGAATGCGTCCGAGGCCTAGGACATGGGCCACCCCCTCCCCCATTAAAAGGTCAGGGAAATAAGGACAAACCAGTAAGGAAAGTGGCCAGTGACAAATCTAGCCACAGGACATTATTCAAGCTTATGTCACTTCCATAGAACAGTCGACAAGTTGCTCAGTTCAAGGATGAATGAATGAAAAGTAAAATATCCAGGTAACAGAAAAGTAGGTCTTCAAAGAAATGCTATTCCTACAGTAAAAATAAAAACAGAAAAGAATAACCAATCCTGCACTTAGTTAAAGGAGCCCTGGTGGCGCAGTGGTTAAGCACTCAGCTGCGAACCTACCAGCCGCTCCTCAGGAGAAAGATGTGGCAGTCTGCTTCCACAAAGATTACGGCCTTGAGAACCCTACAGGGCAGTTCTACTCTGTCCTGTAGGGTCGCTGTGAGTCTGAATTGGGTGGGGCACTTAGTTATCTGAAAATGTAAAACAGCAAAACAAAAAACACTGCTTCATTTGAACAAACGAACTTATCATCAACATCCTTCATTTTCGCCAAGAATGTGTGCCATTAAAAATTTTATGGAGTAAGCACTTAGCTGACCGCCACACCGAAGACCATTTTCATTACGAGGTCATTCTCCTACTCCTAGTCCTCGGCTTCTTCCCTGACCCTTTCGTGCTCACAGGCACCTCTACTTTTTCTGCCTCTGGGGTTTACGGGGAAGCCGCAGCACCACCGACAGTGCCCACCACCCCAAGGCCTTTATGACTGTTTGAAACCGAAGAAACGGTTTGTGCTGCCAATGACTGTTTTTACAGGGTACTACTGTATGAGGTGTCTGGATTTTTGGTAGGAAAAACAGAATATGAGTGGCTCACGAACGAGTTAAATGGGTGCTTTCCAAGCTCCTCAGTTTCTGGCTTCCCCGTGGAATACAGACGTTCCTTCTGAGGGCTCACGGGCGCTCCCACCTCCATACGAAGGACACCGTCATCTCCTCATCTCCCAGACTTGTCTCCAGGTTCAACGTCATCTGTTCCAGTTTCTGCCACTGCCGTTGAGTCAATTCCAACTCACGGCGACCCCGTGTGCAGAGCAGAACTGCTCCAGAGGGTTTTCAAGGCTGTGACCTTTCAGAAGCAGATCACCAGGCCTTTCTTCCAAAGTGCCTCTGGGTGGGTTCGAACTGTCAACCTTTCGGCCAGTATAGGTGAATGCTTAACCGTCTGCACCGCTCAGGGACTCCGGAATCTTTATTCCCGCTAATATTCAACGAGCTGCCTGAACTCAACACATCCAACATGGACCTACATCTGCACCTGCCACTTACTCAGTCCCTAAGCCAAAAATTTACAGGCCACCCCAGAGGAGACCTTGGCCTCCTTCTCGTCCCCACCCCTCATCACAGCCTGTTATCACAGGACACGCTCTAGGCCATCTTCCTCCACTGTTTGTTATCAACACACTCTGAGCTCCTATTCTCTTACACAGACCCCTCTGATTGTTTCCACCTTGCACACTTCTCCAACTCCTCCTCCAATGCCACAGAAAAGATCTTTCCTACAATGTAAATTTGATATTATAGTCACACACTGCGGAACATCCATTCAGACAACATCCGACCACGTACACATCCGTGGTCCCGTAAGGTTATAACAGTTCAGAAATCTCAATCGGAGAACGGGACGTAGCAAACACAACAGCCTCCTGCACACAATATGTGCATCTTTGTCTCTCGTACACAAAGCACTTGCACTGCCAGGCGTATGACGGTACGGCACATATATGATCTGTAACAGGTCCTGACAGTCACAATAAATGCCTGTTTTACTGGCTTAGGTGTGCAGTGTACTTTCTACCGTTACTTTAATGTGAACTTTCCCTCCTCTACGAGTACATTACTGTGTAACAGCGTATGCTTCGACTCGCAGGCAGCAGCATCCAATCTCCTGTAATGCCAGGTAATTCGCTGAAATGCAGTACTGTATGTGTACAGTATCTTGGCTATTTAGTCAATACAGGTACACTACAGTACCCCATACAGCTCTGAGTACATGATATGGTGTTCACACACGTCCAAATCACACAACATCCTATTTCACAGGATCTATCATAGACATTAAGCAACACATGACTACTTCCTTACTTCAAAGAGCCCCACTTCTCTCCCACCCCCTGACAAACAGACACAGCCGGATGCAGCCTCGGAGATAAAGTCCAGTTTCTATTTTTCTCCTGAGCTGCATTACAGCCGCGTCCTCTTCCCCAGCCAGTGCTGCCCTCTGCTCCCAGACCTGGCCTGCTCTTCCACACTTGGATGCTTTTACACCTGCAATGCCTGGTACCAGGTATCATCTCTCCGCCATTTCCCCAAAAACACCTCCTCATCCTGGTTCCTGTGGCATTTCTGAAACAATCAAAATTACATGGAACAATAGTTCCTATTTCAGTTCCTCACAAAATTCACAACACAACATGGGTGCTCAAAAATAAATGGAGGGAGTAATTTTCCTATAACTCAAACCACAATGCAGACTCATGCTAAAGGCACTGACCTCCAGGACAACTTGGTTTCTGTCACCCTGCAGTCGCTGCACTCAGGTAGAAAGCTTGCTACAAACTATTCCTCTGACAGCCTTTACTGAGTGACATTTTTTTCATATGCCATTAGTTTTTTAGGGATATTTTAATAATGAATACATGACGTCCATTAGTTAGCAGTATTAACTTGGGCCAAGTTCTAGATTTCTCAGACCGACAGTGCACAGCATCTCTTGACAGCCTGTCGTCACTGTGGCTGTGTGCCGTCGAGCGGATGCTGACTCACAGTGACCCTACAGGACAGAGCAGAACTGCCCCGTGGGGCTTCCTAGGCTGTGATCTTTACAGAAGCAGATCGCCAGGTCTTCTGTCCCTCCTCAGAGCTGCTTGGTGGGTTCAAACCGCCAGTCTTTCAGTTAGCAGCCAGTATACTAGTTACTAAAGCAAGCCCAAAGTCGGACGGAAAACCTGCGTGTGTGTGTATTTCATTCTCAGCAGGAAGGCACCAGAAATTTTTCAAAAATCCTTCATTTTCAAGTGTACTTCATTTAATGCCAAAGATTCAAAGTAAGATTCCATGAAATATCCCTCTAGATGTTACATATCTAAAAGTGGTCTCCACCAACAATGCACTCAAAATCGTGCTATCATTTAAAACAACTTAAGCAGAACTGGCTAAATGCACACTATTTTGCCAAAATCAGGGATTTCATTAGTATGATATAATCATTATTTCAATTCAATTCAACAATATAGACCATCCCTCAGAACATTCTCTGACAGAGGTACCAACATAGGGTACAAATTATGATAATCCTAGCAGGAGAAATTAATCCTGTCAATTGATCTATCTTGGTTTCAATTTCCATCAATTACTCTATCTCTGAAGGGCATGGAGGTGCTCCAGCAGTATCTGAAAATCCAAATGATGGTACTTACCACATTAACGTTGATATTAGAAGACCAACGCCTATGCAATCTATGAATACAACCCAAAGGAGAAGCTTTATCGTCTCAAAAAATCCCATGTCCAGCACAAAGCCAAATCCTATAGTGGACACTGAAAGAAAGATTGACAAGATTCATTCAGGTGCTGTGCTAGGTTCTGCGGAGACAGGGCATAGCCCTCGCCCTCCAGATGTCCACAGTCCAGTGGGGGAGACAGACATGCCAACAAAACCCCAAAGATGTGTTATACGTCACGGATATAGACAGGCATTCCATCCCTGAACACAGAATGGCCGTGGAGATGTTTTAAGCTTCCTGAGGAGGGCCCTCGTCTGGCAGTTCATTGAGAACAGCACCAGCACAGAGAAGGCACTCAACGTATTTTAACTCCAAGGAAAGAGGCAGAAACCCTGGACACTTCACCATCCTGAGGGTGGTTAGAGCTCCCCCACCAAATGCTGGAGAACTTAAAAGTACCTTCTCAAGTTCCCACGCGCCTTTCAGAACTCTCACTCTGGGTTTGCCTGACTGTGAAATGCCATTTGCAACCTCTTCACAGTAAGGTTAACATTTGGGGATCCCTTTATCTATCGTACTAGTTAAAAGACATGGAGTGAATCTGCCCCCTGCTTTGAAAAGGCCTGAGGTAAGTTTACTCTCTGGCATAATCTGCTTGAGACGTGCAGAATCAGGAAGAAGACAACTTTCTTTTCTGTGAGGAGATTTTTGAGGCTTCAGAAAGAAGCTCCAAATATCCCCAAATTCTGACCAATGCATTTATAACTTTCCCGAAGGACAAGTCCAATCTGAAACGCTCCATTTGTTCTTCAAGTCTACTGCAGACGAACCAACACTTACCACACAGCCAGATACTCAGCAGGACTAGGAAAGCAGGGTCGTCTCGGGCCCACTGATCCTTTGTCTGCTTTCGATAGTGAAAGTTTCTATAAACTCTCTGTGGGGAGGTGAACAGGTAGAGCATCTGCCAGGCAGCAAACTCAAAGTCCATCTGCCGAAAACGGAAAAGCCTTCTCAAGTACTTGTAGCGTTTTGCTCCGGCCGTGTGTCTTGCCGCATCCCTGGAATTCAAGGCGCCATTCCCCTGCATGTGGGAATTCACTGAAATACTTGGTAACATCTTCCTAAACAGAAGGAAAAAAAAAAGGTGTCTTTTACAAATAGTCTGAAGAAATTTTTAGCTACCAGCACACCTGTTTCTGGTTATTTGACAGCAGGGAGGTCGCTTTACATTGTCATCCCCAATCCTTGGAAAGGGGCAGAGGTCAAAAGTGAATGGAGTTGATTCTGAGACTCGTTCTGGGGCTTGAGAACTGCTTAAGGCAAAGGCAACACCACGCCCTCGTGATCCATAGTAATAACACTTACACGGGGTCCAAGCGTTTCAAACACTTTACTCAACCTCCGAAAGCCAAGGGAGGTAGCTACTCTTCAGAGCACGGAGAGGAAACCCAGGTGCTGGGTGGGGAAATGACTTCCCTCCATCACAGAGAGAGGGATGGAGCCAAGATTCCAATTAAGGCACTCTGCTCCAAATTCAATACTCTTAACCACCGCGCCAGTAAGGAAAAGCATTTGTTTAAGCTGATTAGAAAATGTAAAATAAAGGGCCTATTCGCACAGGTCCAGCGGGGTGTGGCCAGGAAGCTCCTCCTTCGCTAGAACGTAACATAAACAAGAAGCAACGCTCAGATCCCTAGTATTTTCCGCCTTAATAGTTAAGCAGGAGGAAATGGCAGCGTGGGACTCCAGCCGGATCGGTCGCCCTCCGGCCCCCACGCCCAGGCTGCCCGATCCGGGACACCTGTCGGCAGGGCTCGGGGACGTCGGCCGCGCCTCGCCGGGCCCGGCCGCTCCCTGCTGGCCCGGGGCCGCGGGTAGGGCTGCCGGGTTTAGGAAATAAAACACAGGACGCCCAGTTCAATTTGAACTTGGGCAAAACAATAAATAATTTTAGCGGAAGTACCTCCCACGCAACTTTTCGGACACACTTACTCTAAAAAATCATTCGTTTATCTGAAACTCGTATTTAACTGGGCGTCCTGTTTGATCTGGCCACCCCACCCGGGGCCGAGGCGCCGGACTTGGCCTGGTCACTACCGGGCCGCAGTGACGTCGGGCCGCGAACTGCCGGAGGAAGCGGCGGCGGCCCGAGCCCGCGCCCGAGCCGCGGCCCTCAGGCCTCACCTGGAGCCCTGCTGCGGCCTCGACTCGGGACCAGCCAGCCCGCCACCTCCGTCCGGCAGCCGAGCCCAGCAGCCGCCTGGGCCAACCTCCCCTCCGCTGACGTAGCCGGACAGGCGCTCAGGGCGCGTCAGCGTCACGCGCGCCCACTTCCGCCCTCTCGCGCTCCGTAGGCCCTCTGCTGCGGGCGCGCCGGAAGTTGCTTCTGCCAGCTTCTGGCTCCTGTGTCGCGGGCTTCTGTGGCGCTCGGAGGGGTCGCGGTGATTGCGTACTGAAGCGGGTAGAGGTCCGAGCGGGGGGGAGTCGGCGGCATGCCCCGATATTATGAGGACAAGCCTGTGGACGGCGCGTGCGCGGGCGTGAAGGAGGACCTGGGCGCCTGTCTGCTGCAGTCGGACTGTGTGCTCCAGGTAGCGCGGCAGGCGCCGGGAGCTCGGGCGATGCCAGCGGCGGAGACGGGGCACAGGCCTCGGCGGGGTCTCCCCGTCGGCCCGCGGCGGCGGCGGCCAAGGCCGTGACTTAGGGTTAGCCGACCTAGGTGTAAAGCAGCTCCAGCTGACTGAGCGTGGGCAAATCCACTGCCCCGTCCGCACCTCAGCCCCCTGCCGTGCAAATGGGATATGGCGATATCGCCCTGACGGCTTTTTGTAAGGCTTAAACCTTTTCGGTAGAGGAAGCGTGTCGAATGCTGGTAGTCTGCGCTGGAGACATAAAGGAGAATAAGACAGGTTCCTTGGACGCTAGGAAATGAGAATCTGTAGAATTAATTATTTTAGAGAATTACATAAATCTGGTGATTGGAGCCCTGGTGGTGCAGTGGTTATGAGCTCAGCTGCTAACCATAAGGCCGGCGGTTCGAATCCACCAGCTGCTCCTTGGAAACCCTATGGGGCAGCTCTCTGCCTTTTAGGGTCGCTGTGAGTCGGAATTGACTCCACTACGGGTTTTTTGGTGCATTATTGGCTCGCCGGCATCGGGTTTTTGTTGTTTTTCTTTTTGGTTTTGTACTGGCTGGGTTTTTGTTTTCTTTTTTCTCTTCAGTTCTGTATTTACCTCGTATTGTTTTTGTTTCTGAGTTTCAATTCTATACAGTCTCAGGTGTTAAGTTGTAAACAAGGCAGCTCCATAGTTTCAACATTTTATACCTTCTCCCCTTCTCCCTCACTACCGCTGAGGTCTTCTCAGGGCCTGCTCTGAATGCGGTGAGCCGTGCGGAGAGGTTCAGTGAGGCTCTAGTTCAGAGGCCGAGTAAAGCGCAGGTGCCTTTTCCGACCCCGAGGGCCTGACGATGGCGCTCGTGTGCGATTCTTTTTGCTGTTTGAGGGTGTTGTGAAAAAGTTGGTTGTCTTTTCAAAGAAAGTTTCAGAAATTTGGTCTTATTTCAAAGAAAAGACAACTACCCAAGAGTAGACATCCACCATGAGGCTGTACCACTATCTGCTGAGTCACGATTTACCGTGGGTTCACTGAGTTTAGCAGTCAACCAGACTCACCTCCCAATGTTTCGTAAAGCTTAAAAGATGTTAGGAATTTGAGAGGTTCTCCGGTCTGACTCCCTGCACAGACGAGGAAGCCGAGGCCCCTTCTCTTCTCCCTTGTCCGGGGCTGTTTCCAGTCTGCTGTCTCATTCCCTGGTTCATGTTCAGCGGTTGTTGTGTCTGTTAATTCCCACCCACAGCGACCCTGTGTGACGGAGTGCCACTGCTGTTCAGTATGTCTCACATACGTTGGACGTGTTATCAGGAGAGATCAGAGGGATCAGTCCCTGGAGAAGGACATCATGCTTGGTAAAGTAGAGCGTCAGCAAAAAAGAGGAAGACCCTCCACGAGATGGATTGACACAGTGGCTGCAACAATGGGCTCAAGCATAATGATTGTGCGGATGACGCAGGACTGGGCAGTGTTTCATTCTGTTGTATACAGGATCACTGTGAGTTGGAACCGACTCGACAGCACCTAACAGCAACAACATAACAGAGTAGAACTGCCCCATAGGGTTTCCTAGGTTGTAATCTTTAAGGGGGTAGATGGCCAGGTCTTTTCTCCCGCGGAGAAACTGGTGAGTTTGAACCACTGACCATTGTGCGCCACCAGGGTTCCTTCATGTTCAGTTAGCTCTTAGTAAATGCCCATTCTGTGGCAGGCATGGTGCCAGGCACTAGTGATACAAAGATGAATCCGTTACGGTCACTACATCAGCTTGGTCTGATGGAAGACATAGGCATGTTAGAGGGCTAAATTCCTGCGGTAAGTGTTGTATTTAGTAAACATTTGTTTAATGAGTAGATTTAGCAACAAAATGCCTTGGAAACCCAATGGAAAGCAACAATCTTGCTCAAAAATGTGGAAACTTCTCAGAGGAGGTGCATTTGAGCTGAGTTTTAAGGACTGAGGAGGAGTTGATCAAGTAAAGGAGTCGGGGGGCGGATCTGAAAGAACAGCATGTGCGGAGGCAGGGAGATGTGGGATAGCCAGCAGAAGCCAGTGCCCGTGGGGCCTGGAGCGTGACTAACAAGGCCTGAGAGGAGAGTTGCAACCAGGTGGGAAGGCCCACGTGTCAGAGTGCGGAATTGGATTTTATCCTGACGTTCCGCGTCCAGAAGGCCATGGAGATGAGTAGTTGAGGGAATAAAACACAGAATGGGACTGAGGAAACAGAGGAAGAGCAGGAAGGTACTGCTGACGAGGAGAATACCCAGGATAATTCATTTAATGACTGCCGGACTCTGATGCGGGGAAGCATACAGCTTAGTGGGGCACATTCTCTCCTGTGTAGAATTCAGATTTCTGGAAAGTTAGAAAGCTGTGGGCAGAGACAGTGACCAGGACTCCTTGCACAGACTTAGCTTTCCTTCCATTGACTATGTGGCCATACTGATGCTAGATTTGTTTGAGAACTAGGAGAACTTGATGTTTGTACCTAAAACCAAACCCATTGCCGTTGCGTCAATTCCAACTCACAGCAACTCTGTAGGACACAGTGGAACTGCCCATAGGGTTTCAAGGCTGTAATCTTTATGCAAGCAGATCACCACATCTTTCTTCTGCTCAGTGGCTGGTAGGTTCAAACTGCCCACCTTTTGGTTAGCAGCCGAGTGCTTTAACCACTGTGCAACCAGGCTTCTTTGACGTTTGTACACGGTCCCTTAAATGGAAGTGCATTTACAGTTTGTGTAAAATTCATCCTGCACGGTGACTTTGCACTGGAGTGTAATAGGGCAGCAGTGAGACAAAGCAACACCCTACCTTTTTGGAGGGTGTCATGGCAGCTACAGACCATCACCGCCTACTAGGGACTCCGGAGGCCAAGAGAAGCTCTGCTGAGCTCTGTGCCTCCTGTTCTTGGCCACCTCACTGATGAGAAGATTGTGGTTCCTTAGCTAATGAAGAAGTGAATCTGATCCTACAGCAGATGGGTGCTGTAGTCTGTTGGAGCCAAAGGTAACCCATCTGAAAACTGGAGCACCTCCTTGTGGGGAGGAGTTCAGCATAAACGAATATTTCTAGGTGTTGTGATAGTCAAGGAACCATAGGGGTTCAGAAAAACTCGGGGTGATGGTGTAAACTCCAGTGGGGCTGAAGAAGAAAAGCAAAGAAAAAGATTAAAGAGGCATTTCTTGGGTAGACTTCTTGGAATTTTATGAATCATGGAGATCAAAAAGGGACACATTGGAAACTGCCTGGGGAGCCTCATTCAACATAGGTCATCTCTGTGTCTCCATTGACAGCTTCCACGCCTGCTGGCTCTCCATCACAATCACCTGGTGGTAGGGGCAGAGATTAAAAGTAGGTGTGGTTCTTCCCCACCCACCGCAGTTTTTAAGTTTTTCCCAGGTTGGTTCTTGGGCACTGCCATGTTTGGGAATCATTGACCTTGATCTCAGAAGGCAGAAAGTTTGGGAGTATATTAGTTAGGATGTAAGTTCAGCTGTATGCTACAGAGATCTAGAGAAATAGTCTCTTAAGATAGAGAATTCTCTCGTACCCGTAGGTAGGCCCTGGCAGCTCCAGTCGGTCTTCCATGGACCCAGACGCTGTTGATCTTGTGATTCTAGGTGCTGTAATGGAAGATAGGAGGTCGCTGTCATACACATAGTCTGAGATGGACTTGCTTCCATGGCATCAGTCCTAGTAACTCACCAAAAAAACCAAGCTCCTTGCCATTGAGTCGATTGCGACTCAACATGATGGAGTAAAGTGGGGAAAGGGGGCAGGCCTCTAACGACCAACACAGAACTTTTACACTTGAAACTACCGTTGAAGTTCCCCTGCATCCCACTGGCTAGGACTTAGTCGCAGCACCACACCTAGCTGCAAGGGGAACTGGGAAAGCTAGCCCAACGCCTTGCAGCTGTGGTGTGCCGTTGAGTCAGTGCTGACTCATAGCAACCCTATAGGCAGAGGAGAACTGCCCCATAGAGTTTCCTAGGTTGCAGTCTTTATGGGAGCAGATCACCAGTTCTTTTCTCCCACGGAGCAGCTGGTGGGTTCAAACTGCCACCCTTATGGTTAGCAGCTGAGCACTTTGTCCAGCTAAGGAGGAAGAGGGAATATTAAGAGACAACTAGGAGTCTGCCATTTGGATTGGAGGTGAGGGGATGGTGAATTAATGTTTCTGTTAGGTTTAGTGTATCTCGATGGAGATTTCTACCAGACTATTGGCAATACAGGTTGAACGCTTATGAAGAAGGTAGCACGTTATGTAGAGTTTTGGGAGACATCAGTGTATAGTTCCCAGTCTTTTATCTGTCTCCACCTCGTTCACCCCGCATCAGCAGTATCTCGTTATAGAGTTTGGGGAGGAATGTGATAGTGCAAGGAAGCTTGCTACTCTGTTTCACTTTTGAGAATCATATAGATGGCAGTTGAAATCTAGGACCCAGGCACACGTGTAAAGACTAGAAAGTGGCCAGGACCAAATTTCTGGCGAACAGAAATAGCACAGACAAGGTATTATATAGGTTTTTTCACAATAAAAACTAGGGAATGTGGCTAAAAAAAAAAAAACCCACTGCCATCAAGTTGATTGCAACTCATAGCGACCCTGTAGGACAGAGTAGAACTACCCCATAGGGTTTCCAGGGCTGTAATCTGTGGAAGCAGACTGCCGCCTCTTTCTCCTGAGGAGCGGCTGACTGGTGGGTTCAAACCGCAACCTTTTGGTTGGCAGCCGAGCACTTAACCACTGTACCACCAAGCTATATGATTAGCACTTGCGAAATAAAGATTTGAGGGAGTGATTGCAGTGGTGGTGGGGAAGCAAACATCTGCTTGAGGGGAAAGCCCAGATTACGCACAGTGGGTGACATTTGGGTTGCGTTTTTCCTGCTTGTTGAATGCACCAGATGTCTCCATTTAAGTGTCACTCTAGCCCGCCTCATTAGCGGCTGTATTAAGCGCTCCGTACCAACACTAAACGGTGTTCCGGTGTCAGGGCGCCTTATCCTGGCTGTTTGAGCTTTGGAAGCTCCGCTGAACAGGATCATTGTTCGCAGAAGCGCTTGATTCATTTTACACTGAAACTCACGTTGAGTGGGAGAGTTTCATGATCTTCCTTTATATCGCCAAGCACTGCAAAAGGCTAATGTTCCTAACCAGCAGAATTGTTTTATTACTTCTTCGTTGAATAGTAATAATAACAACGTAAGGTTGATGTGTTGCTTCCCTCCCCTCCCCCACCCGCCGCCCCTTTGCACGTCATAGTTTGATATCTTTAAGCCTCAGGTGATCTGAAAAATTGAAGTAAAATGTCCTTTTTCCAGATGTCGTTTTATGTCCTTCCACTCCCAGGAACCGAAGTCAGCCGGCAGTTTTTCCCCCTTCCCACCCCGGCCCTCATCCGCACCCTGGGTGGTGCTTGTGTTCCACTTGGCATTTTCATGTGTGCGTCTTCTTTCCTACCTTATATTAAAAGTCCTGAGTGGGCGGGGACATCTAGTGTGTACTTTTTATTCTCCCACTAACCCTGTGAGTGTGGTGAATATCTGTATTGTCCTTGAATTGGTCTTTGTGAAGGCAGGGTTGGGTACAGGATAAATCAGTAGAGTAGGGTGTTCAAAAAGAGAAGCTTCACTGCAGTTAAATTTTAATCTCACCTCTTCGAATTGTGAAGTGTACTTTCTGTAACTGGTTCCATGTGTCTAGTATATTTAAGTATCTTTTTTTAAGTTAAGTTTATGGTGATTTGTTCAAAATCTTTTAAGATAATAAAGAGGTAGTATTTGGATTTTTATTCCATGTTTAACTTGAAAGAAGAATACTACTAGATTTTAGCTCTTATCTAGTTTTTCAGTTAATACTTTACCAAGTCTAATTTTTAATAGTTACAGTTTAAAAGAAAAAAAGTCTTATTTGTTGAGAGTCAGAAATAAGCAGTGGTCTTGTGAATATTCTTAAAGCAGCATCCTGCCTCGATGGCAGAAGGGGAACTGGTTGGCCCAGTTTTCCTCTTGAAACTTCTCTGAGCTCTCACCATTTAAAGATGATTAATTTCAACAGCCTGGTACGGGTACAACAACAGATACATAGACCAGTGGAACAGAATTGAGGCTACAGACATGAATTCATCCACCTATGAGCAGCTGATATTTGGCAAAGGTCCAAATTCCATTAATTGGGGAAAAGACAGTCTCTTTTACAAACGGTGCTGGCATAACTGGATATCCATCTGCAAAAAAATGAAACAAGACCCATACCTCACACCATGCACAAAAACTAACTCAAAATGGATCAGAGACCTAAATATAAAATCTAAAATGATAAAGATCATGGAAGAAAAAATTGGGACAACGCTAGGAGCCCTAATGCATGGCATAAACACAATAGGAACCATAAGTAAGCAAGGCACAAGCACCAGAAGAGAGACTGCATAACTGGGAGCTCCTAAAAATCTAACACTTACGCTCATCAAAAGACTTCACCAAAAGAGTCAAAAAACAACCTACAGACTGGGAAAAAAATTTTGGCTACGACAGATCGGTTAAGCATCTAATCTCTAAAATCTACAAGATACTGCAAAACCTCAACAACAAAAAGACAACCCAATTAAAAAATGGGCAAAGGATATGAACAGGCACTTCACCAAAGAAGATATTCAGGTGGCTGCCAGACACATGAGGAAATGCTCGTGTTCATTAGCCATCAGAGAAACGCAGATCAAAACTACAATGAGATACCATCTCACCCCAACAAGGCTAGCATTAATCCAAAAAACACAAAATAATAAATGTTGGAGGGGTTTTGGAGAGACTGGAACATTTATACACTGTTGGTAGGAATGTAAAATGGTACAACCACTTTGGAAATTGATTTGGCACTTCCTTAAAAAACTAGAAATAGAAGTACCATACAATCCAGCAATCCCACTCCTTGGAATATATCCTAGAGAAATAAGAGCCATCATGTGCATAGATATATGCACACCCATGTTCATTACAGCACTGTTCACAACTGCAGAAAGATGGAAACAACCTCGGTGCCCGTCAATGGAGGAATGGATAACTTATGGTATATTCACACAGTGGAATACTCTGCAGCGATAAAGAACAATGACAAATCTGTGAAACAACATGGGTGCGTCTGAAAGGCATTATGCTGAGTGAGATTAGATGCAAAAGGACAAATATTGTATAAGACCACTATTAAAAGAACTCAAGAAATGGTTTAAACACAGAAGAAAACATTCTTTGATGGTTATGAGGGTAGGGAGGAAGGGAGATGGATATTCACTAACTAGATAGTAGATAAGAATTAGGTAAAGGGAAGGACAACATACAATACAGGGAAGTCAGCACAACTGGACTAAACCAAAAGTTAAGGAAGTTTCCTGAATATAACCAAACACTTCGAAGGATGGAGTAGCAGGGACAGGGGTCTGGGGACCGTGGTTTCAGGGGACAACTAGGTCAATTAACAAAGTTTATTAAAAGTTCTGCATCCCACTTTGGTGAGTGGCATCTGGGGTCTTAAAAGCTAGCAAGCAGCCATCTAATACATCAATTGGTCCCAACCCACCCGGAGCTAAGGAGAATGAAGACACAAGGAAAACAATAGCCTGAGAGACTCCATCAGCCTGAGACCGGAAGAACTAGACGGTACCCAGCTACTACCAATGACAGCCCTTGCAGAGAGTCCCTGATGGCTCAGGAGAAAAGTAGGGTGCAGAACTCAAATTGAAATCAAAAGACGAGATTTAGTGGTCTGAGACTGACGGGACCTTAGAAGACCTGACCCCAGACTCTCTGTTAGCCCAGAACTGAAACCGTTCCTGAGGCTAACTCTTCAGACGAAGATTAGACTGGACTATGGGACATGAAATGATATTCGTGAAGAGAGTGCTTCTTAGTTCAAATAGATACATGAGACTAAATGGGCAGCGCCTGTCAGGAGGCGAGATGAGAAGACAAAGGACAGCAGCTGGCTGAGTGGACACGGGAAGTCCGGGGTGGAAGGGAGGAGCGTGCTGTTACGTTGTGGGGAGAGCAGCTGGGGTCACACAGCAATGTGTGTATCCATGTTTGTATGAGAAACTGACGAACTGTAAACAGTAAAAATAAAAAAATTCACATCAGGCAGATCTCTGTCAGCTCCCCACTTCCCTCTTCCAGTTCTTACTCAGCTGAGCATCAGAATAGTAAACCTGGGAGTGGGGGTCAGGGTACAGGAAATCAATCTCTCTCTCCCCCTCTCCCTCCCTCTCTCCCCCCTCCCCCCGCCCCGTGTCACACACACACCCCTTGCTTTCCTGGCTTTAGGAGTTCTTTTTAGAAATACTGAGGAATCCCTGTTACTCCCCTCACCTTTACACTTTCTTACCCATAAGGAGATGAGGATATCAGTTTCTAGCTTTTTATATAACCGTTTCAAAAGTATCCCATTCAAACCAGTATTCTCTCCTTTTTCCCTGAAGTACCAGCAGTCAAAATGAATTAAGAACTGTGTCTTATGTAATTGACAATTTTCCTTTCATGAAACTTTAAAAACTAATTTCAAAAGGACAGTTATTTAGTACTTTGTGAGAAAAATGTGCAGATATTTCTGTTTTCTATGTTACAGGAAGGAAAGACTCCTCGGCAGTGTTTGAAGGAAGGAAGTTGCAGAGCTTTGCAAAACTCGTTTTTTGAATGTAAAAGGTCAATGGTAAGTGATTAAAGATTTTCCGAAGCTTATGCTGAAAATGAACCATGTGGCGTTCAAGATGTGAGTGACTTGCAGATAGACTGCAGTGATATAGTTTGGAAAAACTTACCCCAGTGAGTTAATGTTGGAGCCCTGGTGGCGCAGTGGCTAAGCGTTGGGCTGCTAACCAAAAGGTTGGCAGTTCGAATCCACTAGCTGCTGCTTGGGAAGCTCTACGGGGTAGTTCTGCTCTTTTCTGTGGGGTCGCTGAGTCAGAAATGAGTGGACGGCAGCGGGTTTGGTTTTTGTTTTATTCGTGTCAGAATGTAGCTGATGTGGTCGCTGGTAATCACTGGCATTATTCTGCTCCTCTGCTGCCAGAGCCCTGGTGGTGCAATAGTTAAAGCACTCAGCTGCTAACCAAAAGGTCGGTAGTTCAAACCCACCAGCCCATCTGTGGGAGAAATACGTAGCAGTCTTCTTCCCTAAAGATTTCCAACTTTGGAAACCCTGTGGGACGGTTGTACTCTGTCCTTCAGGGTCGCTATGAGTCGGAATCGACTCAGTGGCAGTGGGTTTGGTTTTGGTTTATTCTGCCACCAGCTAACCACAGCTGCTAACCTTCTTGAGTTTCTGAAAATGTGACAGTGAAGTCTTGGCAGGTGTGAATGGGCAAAGGTTGATATTGAGCACTGAATTCGGGTCGTTTGGCAATCACACAGAAACCTGTAGAGTAGAGGTCTAAGGTCTGAGGAGGTGTGGCCAGGAGGAGGTGCCAGTGTCTGTTTGAATTTCTGGAGTGACATATTGTGGAGAGGACCTAAGAGGACATTACAAACTTCTGGGATTTGTATGCTAACATTCTGTGATTTGAAAGCTCGGAAAAGATCTCTGGAATGGAAACTGAAGAATGCAAGTCTTGAGAAAGGAAAGTATGTAAACAGAAAAAAGAGTATTCTGTTACAGAAAGCAGTAGCTTCAGCCTGAGTGGGCTTTTGTTTGTTAGGAACTGCCAATCGCTTCTCCGCTGGTGATCAGAGAAGCAGAGGGGCCAGGCTATTTAGGACCCAGGAGGCCAGACAGAGCACTGGAGCATGATTTCTGACTAATCAGATACAAACCCGAAAAACCAGACCCAGTGCCGTTGAGTCGATTCCAACTCATAGTGACCCTGTAGGACAGAGTAGAACTGCCCCAGACGGTTTCCAAGAAGTGGTTGGTGGATTCAGACTGCCTACTTTTTGGTTAGTGGCCGAGCTCTTAAACAGTGCGCCACCAGGGCTCCACTGAGCCCTCAGGGCTGCAGTCAGATGCAGGGAGGGTGTAGAGTTAGATTCCCTTTGGCCAGGCTTTGTTTCCTTTCTCAAGGACAGGTCTCTGCTGTGTTTTCCTGTCATTTAACGTGAAAAAAGAGAAGGCTTTTTCTTGCCTTTCCTCAAATAGTTTTGCCACTCATGAAAATGTGAACCTTAGACTTCAGAGCCTGTTGAGACAGTTGAGAAATCATAAGGAAGAGTTGGTGTAGGAGACGATGAGCTGTACTGTTTAATTTCATCAACTGACTGAATTGAGAAGTTTCCTGTGATTTCCTGCCTAAGGCTCCGTGTCTAAAAAATGATAAAAAGTCAGAACATTTTTTAAATTTTCACAATTTACCTTCTGCAGAAATTTGTAATAAAAAATAAAACCTGAATAACAAAGTGCTTCTGACCATTTGTAAATATAAGTACAATGCAGAACTTTGCTTAGATTTTGATACTAGAAAGAGCAGTCTAGGGAACTTTTTAGCAGACTTAAGACTTAGAGACTCTTTTAACATCTTTCTGCAAGAGTATGATTTACTGTTAGTTCTCCAAAATGATTGCAGTCACTTCACACCTGACTCATGCAACCTCAGTTATACGTGCTGGGCAGAAAGAAAAACAACAATTTAAACTGTGCAGGTGATTTTGCTTAATATTCCCAAATAATGAGTGTGTGCCCCGAGGGCCGGGGAGAAGGGCATCTGCTATTCCTTCAGATTAGGAGCATCTCACCACCCTGAGCATCATTGCCGGGTTTAAAAATATATTTTTCCTTTTTTTAAAAAAATATGCCTCTTGGCTGCTTCATCTAGTGCTCAGGTGAACAAATGGCTGTCTGTCCCACGCTGGCCATGTTGGACTTTTCCCTAGGGTCTGTCTCCAAAATAATATCTTCCTTAAGAATTTTTGGAGTGGTTGTTAACTATGTAATTCAGCCTTATACCCTGACTTTAGAACCTCACATACACACACACCCCCTTAAGAAATGGCTGCAGTGTGAGACTTAAGTCAGAGAACGTGCTGTCAGCCGCTTGAAGAGCGTCCAGTCCCCTAACGACTATGTGTCCCTTTCATCAGGACTCTTTCCCATTTTCTCAGTTGCCATTTATTTAAATGCGTCTGGATCTTAACCTCAACAGAACTTAATGTCGTTTGGATTAAGAGTGGACTCGGCCCAACAAGACAATCCCTGCTGATTGACCTTACGTGGAGTCTTTTGTTTTAATGCCATCTGTTTCCATTGTTTTCTTGGCTGCTCTGACAGTTACCTTTTGGCTTTTTCTGAAGACTAATTTATTTCTCTCATATAGCGATATCCCTTATGAGAAGCGTGTCTAATTAACTGTATTGTGCAAAATTTAATTGTACATTTATTTTCAGCTGGATGCCAGATCCAGATTCCGAGGAAGAAAAGGATACTGATACCGTTATGTCGAAACCAAGATGGAAACAACAGGCTTCTCTGCTGTCGGCCGAGGAGCCTCGGGAGGAAGTGCACCACCGGCTCCGTCGGCCCGCTCACCGGTGACTTTCCCCCACGGGAGACGGGGGAGGGGGACAGTCCTGGTTTTGCATAAGGATAAATAAAGATTTTCTTGTTCTCAGTTAGTTTTAGAAGAAAAAGTTTAATTATGGGTACATGGTAAATGTGTCTTGAGAATTGTTAGAACATTCTTAGAAAGCACAATTAATGGAAAGACTGGTAGTTTTGAACTTGACTCATGAATCAGATGACACAGTTTATGACTGTCAGGAAGATCACTGGTGTGACTAATCAGTAAGATGGAAGGGGGAGAGAAAATGTCTATTCTTTTATGCAATCTGTCCTACCTAGTTTTAAAATAAAGTCAATTGTGTTTGATTCTTTGGAGAAGAAATGCCTCATTTTCACTGAACTGCTGAAGTGAACAGCCTCAGAACTTTAATATTATACATTAGACGTAGCTGGACGCAAAGCCCAGACGACATTGTCAGGGTCTTTGCCCCCATCTCTTGACTTTTTGTTTCCTGGCTCCCTTTTCAGGCTGGCCCCTCCCCCATGATGGGGACGGTGGCCAGTGTCAGCCATAAGCCTACATCCTTAAGATCAGTGATCCAGAAAGAAGAGAGAGAGCTTCCTCTTCCAGGGCCCACAAATCAGATATTACAAAGGACCGTGGCCTCTCCTGGATCACCTGCACTTCACGGGGCCAATCCCTGTGGAGAAAAGGATGGGTTCCGTGATCGGCCAGGCCTGGGGCAGAGCCTTTCCTGTGGCACCATAATTGTTAACCCCCATCAGAATCGCATTGGCTGAGTGCTGGGCCTCTCCCTACAGGAAAGAGGGATTCAGAAGAAGAGAAACAATAGGTGTTCGCTATAGAAAGCAAGCGTGAAGAGCAGGAAAAGCTTGAAAAAGCTTAGAATCACAGTAACTGCTTTATTCTGATCTCTTAATACAGTAGAGGACCAAATATAAAACTTTCTTTTTGGTATTGAAGGATAAAAGAAACACCCTCGCTTCCGTGTGCTTCCACAGTTCGTTGGTGTTAACGTAGTCGAGGTATTTGCAGGTCCCCTGCGTTAAAGGTTCACCCGAGGTGGTGACAACCTGCAGCAGCCCTGGTGGTTGTTGCAGAGTGTCACCGAGGTCTAGTGTGTGCTGCTTTTCACCGGTGAAGGGGAAAAGATGGATTCTGTTCAGTAGCTGTTGTATACCTATTTAAATGCTATAATTTTTATTAAAAGTAACTTTGATAAGTATTTTATAATACCCTATCTTTTTTTAATAACAACTTTGACATATAATTCCCATGCCATGATATTTACCCTTTAAAGTGTACAATTCATTCGTTTTTAGTATTTTCAGAGTTGCGCACTCATCACCACTAAGTCCAGGACATTCTTATTACCGAAAAAGAAACCCCAAACCCATTAGCAGTCACTCCCAATCCCTTCTCCCCAGCCCTGGCAACCACTAACCTGCTTCGTCTCTCTGGATTTGCTTGTTCTGGACATGCCATATAGATGGAATCACACTATGGGACCTGTTATGACTGTGGCTACTTTTGCCATAATTGGTCAAGTTTTGTCCACATGTGGCATCTATCAGTACATCATTTTTATAATAGTCCACTGTTCAGATGGACCCCATTTTGTTCATCAGTCAAGGGACTTTGGGTGGTTTCCACTTTTGGATGATTATGACTAATGTTAGGAAAATCACATACAAGTTTTGCATGGACTGTTTTCATTTCTCTTGGGTATATGTCTAAGAAGGAACCCTGCTGTCACAGTGGTTAAGCACTTGGCTGCTAACCAAAAGTTTGGCAGTTTGAAGCCACCAGCCACTCTACGGGAGAAAGATGTTCCAGTCTGCTTCCATAAAGATTTACGGCCTTGGAAACCTATGGGGCAGTTCTACTCTGTCCTGCAGGGTTGCTGTGAGTTGGAATTGACTCAGTGGCAGTAGGGTGCATATCTGTGGACTTGCTGGATAATATGATAACCCTAACTTTAGCATTATGATAAACTGCCAGACTTCCACAGTGGCTGTACCATTTTACATTCTCACCAGCAATGTATGAGGGTGTCTTAGTCATCTGGCGCCTCTTTAACAGAAATACCCCAAGTGGATGGCTTCAACAAACAAGAAGTTTATTTTCCCACAGTCTAGGAGGCTAGAAGTTTGAATTCAGGGTATCAGCTCCAGCCGAAGGCTTTCTCTGTCGGCTCTGGGGGAAGGGCTTGTCATCAGTCTTCCCCTGGTTGAGGAGCTTCTCAGGCGCAGGGACCTTGGGTCCAAACGACATGCTGTTCTCCCAGTGCTACTTCTTTGGTGGTATGAGATCCCCATGTCTCTCTACTCGCTTCTCTGTTTTATATCTCAAAAGAGATTGGCTTAAGACACTGTCTAATCTTGTAGATCTCATCAATATTTTATATATATATATATATATATACACACAATATAATGTTGCTAATCCATCTTATCATCATAGTGATAGGATTTACAACACAGGAAAATCACATCAGATGACAAAATGGTGGGCAGTCACACAATACTGGGAATAATGACCCAGCCAAATGGATACACATATTTTGGGTGGACACAATTTAATCCATGACAGAGGGTTCCAGTTTTTCTACGTTTTCAAATACTTGTCATTCTTCTCTTTGATTATGGCTCGCCTACTTGGTATGAGGAGCCCCTGGGTGGCACACATGATTAAGAGCTCTGTTACTACCCAAATGGTTGGCAGTTCAAACTCACCCAGAAGCACCTTGGAAGTCAGGCCTGGTGATCTGCTTCTGAAAGGTCACAGCCTTGAAAACTCTCTGGAGCAGTTCGACTCTGCACACGAGTCAGAATCAATCTGATGGCAACTAGCAACAACTGGGTATGCAGTATCTAATTGGGGATTTGATATGCATTTCCCAATGGCTAATGATATTAAACCTGTTTTCATTTACTTATTGGCCATTTGTATATCTTTGGAGAAATGTCTGTTCACATCCTTTGTCCCTTGTTCCACTGGGTTTTTTTATTGTCGAGTTATAAGAATTCTTCGTGTATTGTGGATTGAAGTCCTTAAAAGAGATGATTGGCAAATCTTTCCTCCCAGTCTGTGGATTGTCTTTTCACTTTTTTGATGGTGTCCTTTGAAGCGTAATTCTTTTTTTTGAAGCCTAGTTTATCTGATTTTTCTTTTTGTTATTCATGTTTTTGGTGTGTCTCAGAAACCACTGCCTAATCCAAGCTTATGGAGATTTATTCCTATGTTTTCCCCTTAGAGTTTCATAGTTTTAGAGCTTACATTTAGACCTATGACCTATTTTGAGTTAATTTTTGAATATGGTCTGAGGAGTCTACCTTCATTCTTATCCCTGTGGACATCCAGTTGTCCCAGCATTATTTGTTGAAAAGACTATTCTTTCCCCATCGAATTTTCTTGACCGTCAATGTGAGGGTTTATTTCTAGACACTCAGTTTTATTTAAGTGCTACTACAGACTGTCTTGAATACTGCAGCTTTGTAGTAAGTTTTGAAATCTGGAAATGTGAGTCCTCTAATGTTCTTCTTTTTCAAGATTTCTTTGGGGAGGGCTATTTTGGGGGCCTTGGATTTTCATTTACGATCAGCTTATCAATTTCTTTAAAAAAAAAAAGTCAGCTGATATTTGGATAGAGATTGTGATGAATCTGTAGATCAGTTGGGGAATATTACTATCTTAACAATATTAAGTCTTCTAATTAATGAACACAGGATAGCTTTCCATTTATTGAGTTTGTCTTTAATTTCAAGAGTGTTTTGTAGTTTTCACTGGGCAAATCTTGTACTTTTGTTAAACTTATTCCTAAATATTTTATTATTTGGTGCTCTTGTAAATGGAATTCTTAATTTCAATTTCAGATTGTTCATTGCTAGTATATAGAAATGCAACTGATTTTTTAATTAACCTTTTTATTTTAAGATAATTATAGATTTCCATGCTGTTGTAAGAAATAATACAGAGAGATCCCATGTACCTTTTACCCAGTTTGCCCCAGTGGTCACTTCCTACAAACCTGTAGTACGATATCACAACAGTCATACAGTTGACATCGATACAACAAGATACAGAAAATTTCCATCACAGGAACCTCTCAGGTTGCTCTTTTATAGCCATACCCACTTCCCTCCAGCAAACTCCCCCCCACAACCCCTGGCAACCACTAATCTAGTCCATTTCTATAATGCTGCAATTTTAAGAATGCTGTGTGAATGGAATCAGTATTTAGTCTTTCGGGATTAGCTTTTCCCCACACAGCATGATTCTCTGGTGATTCATTCAGGTGGTGGTGTGTATCAACAGTCCATTCCTTGTTATTGCTGAGCAGGATTCCATGGTATTGGTGCCACAGTTTGCTTAACCCTTAAAGGATATCTGAGTTTGTCTTAGTCATCCAGTGCTGCTATAACAGAAATACCACAAGTGGATGGCTTTAACAACCAGAAAATTATTATCTCATAGTTTAGAAGGCTAGAAGTCCGAATTCAGGGTGCTAGCTCCAGGGGAAGGCTTTCTGTCTCTGTTGGCTCTGGCAGAAGGTCCTTGTCATCAATCTTCCCCTGGTCTGGGAGCTTCTCAGTGCAAGGAACCCGGGTCCAAAAGACACGCTCCGCTCCTGGCTCTTCTTGCTTGGTGATTATGAGGTCCCTCTCCTCTCTGAATATTCTCTTTTATATCTCAAAAGAGATTGACACAAGATACAATCTAATCCTGCCTCATTAGCATCATAGAGGTTAGAGTTTACAACACACAGGAAAATTACATCAGATCACAAAATGGTGGGCAACCACACAATACTGGGAATCGTGGCCTAGCCAAGTTGACATACATTTTTGGGGGACACAATTCAATCCATAACAGGGTTGTTTCCAGTTTTTTATTATTCTGAATAAAACTTATAAACATTTGTATACAAGTTTTTGTGTGAACGTAAGTCTTCATTTCTGTCAGGTAGACACCCCGGAGTGCAGCTGGGTCACGTCCTGGTTGCATGTTCAGTTGTGTGAGGAACTGCCCACCTCCTCCAAAGTGACTGAGTTTCACATTCCCTCCAATAATGTGCGTGTGATCCAGTTTCTCCACATCATCATCAGCTGAGATTCTCTCATTTTTCATTTGTTTCAAGCATGTTTCTCATTGTTTGTTGAAGCATTCTTATGATTGCTGCTTTAAAATCCTTGTCGGAGAATTCCAACATCTCGGTGTTGATGTTGTCTTTTCCCATTAGGTTGTGATGTGCCTGCTTCTTGGATGAGCAGTTGTTTTTGGACATCTGGGGAATTACAGTGTGAGACTTGGTCCTGTTCTTTTTAGCAGGCAGTCACCCCACTTAGGTACAGCATGCAGATGTGCACGGAGCTGGATGCTCAGTTCTCTGCTGAGGCCCGCTGTCACCTTCTCGCCAGAAGCAGAGCACCAACCTGCACCGCCTCCTTGATTCCAAGGGGGGGGGGGTGTAAGCTGAGTGCCTCACTGGGCTGTGCTGGCACCAGGGAAGGAGAAAGTGGTGGTCCATTACCTCAATCTTTCACTCCCTTATTCTGCCTCCTAGATGCCAGGTGGAGGCAGAAGTTCAGTTTTTTGCTGGGCTCTGCTGACACCAGGGGGTGAGGGGAAGTCAGGTGCTAACTCGTTGCCTCCCACTGCCTTGTTCTGCCACGTTGATGTCCGGTGGGCCTGAAGGCTCAGCTCCCTACTGGGCTCCACTGACACCAAGAAAGGCGGGAAAGTGGAGTGCCACCTACACCCAATTCACACCACCTCAGTGGGTCCTGCCAGCACCTCCCCAGCAGGGAGATCACGGCCATGGAAGCTGAAGATCAGCTCCTGCTCAACCACTGCAACCCTGCTGGAAGGGAGTTTTTCCACTGGTGTTTTCTGGGAGCAAGGCAGGCATTGTCAGAAAGGTTTGCTGTAAATGTCTCTGTGTTAGGCCACCCTCTCCGGTCTTTTTCCGGGTGAACAGGCTTTTCTTGGAGTGTTTTCCATCTGTATCTGCTGGTGTTTCCAAGTTGGAGGCCTCTGCAGCACCCTGGCCGGGGTGCATGGAAGGCAAAAAGGGCCTCCGGGCACCCACTGCAGTGTCATCCCTCCAGTCCTGCGGTCCCCTCCAGTCCTGCGGTCCCTGGGCAGACCGCCCTTCTCCACCTCGCAGGGTCTGCCTGTTTGTTGTGTCTATAGGAGAAATAGCGCTACTCCATGTGGCCGGAGCAGGAGGTTTTACAGCAGCTACTGGATGCCCTGGACAGTCAGTACCCTAAAAATAAATCATTAAACTTTTAGTGTTAAACCCTCAGGGTTCTACTTTTTCTCTGCACCCCCAGAGGATTTTCAGGTTTTTTTTTTTTTTTTAATTACTAACTTTCATGCTTTCACCATCCTTTTCTCTATCTGTTATGCTGTCTCTTTCCCCCTCCTTACCCTACACATGTAATACCCTCCTAGCCTGTAAAATAATGCAACTTAAGATTACCCTGCTCAGTAAGATAACCAAGACACAGGGCAAAAGGGACTTTGCAGATATGATTAAGGACCTAGAGGTGAGGAGAGTAGCCTGCATTATCCAGGTGGGCTCAATGTAATCACATGGGTCCTTTAACAGGGAGGCACGTGAGGGAGAGAAGGGGACCTGAGGACGGAAGGAGAGGAGAGGATGTGAGCACCGAGGGCAAGGAGGGGATGTGAGGACGGAGGGAGAAGTTGGAATGATGCCCGGAAGGCGCACACCAAGAAATGCAGACGGCCTCTAGAA